ATTTTTCAGACTGCTTCCACACCCACAAAGATCTGAGTGATTCACTGATTCTCCGTTTCCTCCTCCTGGCATTATTTGAGCTGTCCTCCAGCCCTTTTTTCTGCATGGAGTGGTAGGGACAGAAGGAGTTTATCTGAGTGGATAGGCTCTTTGCTCCCTTACCTGTAGAGAGGAAAGGATCAGGGAGTTATGCGTGTCCAGTATGTCTGAAAACCAGGCCCTACTCACTGTTCTGGATATATTTTTATGTGCATACAATTGGTAAACAAAATTAATACAGAAAACTACATGTTTCATTTTGACACCATTGAAGTGTACTTGGTTTAATAAACCCTTCTTAAGTTCTTGTATAAATATACCCTCTTCTTTAAGAATTGCTGTTTATATTCCACACACAGTCACACAGAAAAATATTGTGGAAAAACTTAATCCAACTGCAGAAATAGTTTTTAGTAAGGTAAAAAAGATTTGATTTAGTATAAGCCATTGACCCAGTCCCACTTTTACTATAAACACAGCAATAAGAGGAAGCACGTTTGGTGGATAAGACACTTCTGAACTGTGCTGTAACATAAGTAATAATAATTACTAGAAGAGGAAGAGAGAACAGGGGCTCAATGCTGTTGATATAAAGGGTACTAAGGTACAATGTTAATCAAGGCTTCAGTCACTGAAGGAGTCCATTGGTGCGAGTCCAAGAACTGAAATGCCACATAGGTTTCAAAAAGCGTGAACTTCTCTGTATTTTTTTGCTGCTACAGAGCCACAAACAGGAATCAGTAGTTTCAGTTGTGACAGCCTTAATATATACTTTATTAAAACGCTTAGAGCTCCTTGACATTTGTATTTTGACAGCTGGATTCCAAGAGCCCATTTCTTGCAAACCTTTCCATCCCTGTAACTAATTTTATTACAAGCACTTCAAATCAGAGCACTTATAGAATCACCTCCAGCTGATAGCACTTGAAATCTAGGTATAAGGAGCTGTCCCACACCATCCTAATGTTGCTAAGGATGGGAAGAGACACAATGAAAACCAGAGTGACTCTTTGAGGCAGATAAGTGAGGAACATTTATACCAGAAAGGGAAAAAAAAAAAAAAAGAGAGGAATTGAAAGTAAGTATAGCTATTATGAATGAAAAGACCTCCAAGAACAAACTATAGAAGCAAAGAGGGGAAAGCAGAGTCATGTATTTATGGTAACTTGAGTGGTTATTAAAGGAGCACGGGTCAGTCTGAAAGGAGCAAAGCTTTGTTCCAGGTACTTTCCGTTAACCTATTGCTGCAAACTAGAAAATCAAAGTCTTGTTCTGCAAACCTACCATAATGATTTAGCTGGAAGATACTGAAGTATCTGATCTCCCACTTCAGAGAAAAAAGTTAACCTTTCTCTAAGAACTTACAAGTAAACATGCAACTGCAAGTAAATAAGCAGTTAATTGGATTTGAATGGAGTTAGGGTGACATCTTGTGACTAATTTACAAAATTACAAAGCTGGATTTTCCTTGCTTTATTCTCCTGATTTCTTCCCCCAAAGGATTATCTACATACAGAAGTGATTGCAAAATAAGATAGGGTCTGACATCAGCATTAACTCCTTGTATGGGTTTTCTTAATCTGCAGAATGCCTTTTTACCATGTGGCTAACTCCATTTCCAAAGTGGACCAAAAACCAACTGCTAGAGTAAAAAAGGGGTGGCCAACATCCAACACGCGTGCAACATGTGGCACAGGCAGCCTCTGTGTAGCACACAGCTGATTAGGGAAGGGACAGGCAGCACAGCAGCAGATAGAGTTGGGAACAGAAAACAGAGCAACAGATCAGGCTGGGGGAGGAGTAATCAGAGTGGCACTTGAGGAGGGCACAGGGCTAATTTGTGATATGCCTGCCAAAAAGGTTGGCCTCCACTGATGTACAACATGAGAATCCTCATGGGGAGTGACTGCAGAATGACTTCTGAGCCATTTCTCTGTGTAGACAAGTCCATTGCAGAATCAAAATAGTATCCACAACCAAGTGAAAGACTTTTTTCACATCCTGCTTTACATTTGTTACTTTAAATATCAGCCAGCATCTTGCCAGGTCTTGGACAACTTCCTGCACAGGCCATCTCTGGTCCACATCAGACTCCAGCTCCCGATCTTCAAAAGCTCTAAGGGTGGAACTTCTGTAAGACTAATTAGGAGAAGTATAGCAAGGCATTGGAAGTATAGTGTATAGCAAGGCATTGGAATGAAGCAATGTGACAATACCGACCCAGAGCATTCAGGTGGAAGAGGCCTATAGTCATCCCTGTGGCACCATTTATAAAGCAGCCTGTGGGCCATTCCATGTGGCTGCTGCCCAGTCTATCCTCCCTGCTTTGATCCCAAGTGTGTCACCCTGCTAAAGCTGTACGAGTCAGCTGCCAACCCAGATGTGGCCAATCACTCGATCGAATCATTGGAAGCAGCTCACCGAGCTTGATAGGAGGAAATGACTGAGAAGCTGGACTTCACCCATTCCATCTGGAAGTGTTGGACTCTACTTTGTCATTTTGGAGTGGCTCATCAGCCATCAACACCAAGTCACCTCCCACGGCACCCAACCAAGTAGCCAGCCACCTACTTCATGTAGCAAGAGCGCCGCTGGAAAAAGGAGTGAAAAGCTGCCTCCAAAAGCAATGAAGAACTTTTCACCAGATGCCCCAGACCAGAACCCCTCCAGAACCCTTCACAGTTCTTGAATTGAGTGAAGTTTTGGACAGCATCAAGTCTGGCACTACCCCAGGCTATGACAGTTCCTTGTCCCAGATGTTACAGTCTGCCCATCTGGCTCCAATCTGTCACGCTGTCAGTGGACCTTGCTGAATAGGTTGCAGACTGGGCAAGGTCTGTGTGCAGCCAACCTCCACCATTGGAGTCTTCACAACAATCCAGACTATAGCTGTGGCACAACACATGCCATGTTGCATATTGTTGATGATTGCCTGCTAAGTTCAGTGGCGGACTACAGGAACTGCACACAGCCCCTGAGGATGCTATCGTGTGGCTTGGCAATTATACACATGCGGACTGACCTTGCATATGGCGCACAGTGTCACTACAGGACCTTTTAAAATGTTTATTTTTTTCTTTTGTCCTCAGACCTGTAGTGGCACTAAGCAGGTGATGGACCCACAAGTTCTAGGAAAGTCACTTATTTGTCACCTCAGTAGCCAACGTGGAAAATAAATGGACACCCTCACTATAGAAATCACAGTGATGTTAAAATGATATGTAAGGCTTAAAGAGTTTTGAGAACATATTGCTCTTGCTTTCCTGTTCTTTTATGACTGTGGCAGAATCCTTTCACCATTTCTCCTAAATACTCATGTCACCAGTCAGCCTCCCTTGGCAGTGACGTGGAAAGATGGATAATTTCTGACAGAGGGAAATGCTATTGTGAAATCACAAACTGGCGGAGGGTCAGTGTAGTTGCACTTTTACTCTTTTTTGAATGTGACCACCCATCAAGTGGATGGCATCCCTCTAAATCCTAAATAGTTTTGAGGGAGTTGGTATCTCTCACTGCACCAGTCAGAGGGTCAGCAGATATCTCAGCTACTGATGCACTGCTGAGCTACAGACAAAGAAGTGCTGGATCCCATTTCCATTGCTTCTGAAGTGCCTCTCTGTGCCCTTGGGGGTGTTGGTTGTAGCCATGTTGGTCTAAGGACGTAGGCAGACAAGGTTGTTTGGGTAAATGTGATATCTTTAATTAGACCAATGTGGCAGGGTGTAGTACCTTGTAGCGCAGTTAGCCTCGCACTTTTACTCCTAGTGGGAAGATCTTGGCTACACATCAACTTTATGGAAATGGGAGGCTCTTCCCTAGCTTGCTCCTGCCGCCATACGGCTGAGGGCAAGCGAAACTTGAAGGCCTCCAAACCCCAAGCCTCCAGGATTGGGCCTGCATGTACGATACCTGCATCTGAAGCCCATTTGGAATCAATTTGGCTGACTTGACTTGGGGGACAAAAAAAAAAAGACCTTAAAAAAAGTTGGAAAAATTCTTCTTTGCAAGCTTTTGAGTGAAAACACCCTTGTCTTCAAAAGCTTGCAAAGAAGAGTTTTTCCAACTATTGAGTTGGTCTAATAAAAGATATCGGATTTACCCAAAGAACCGTGCATGTCTCTGTGCCCTTTGCGCTAGGGGCTGGGCCCCACGTGGGTGCACAGCTAAGAAAGCCCTTTAGGGTCTGGCTAGATTAGAGTTGCTGTCCTATGAATCGTCTGAAGCCCTTCCAGATGGGGCTGGATCACTGGCCCCTGGACACAAACAGCCCAGCACGTCCCTACTACCGAGCACTTCAGGCTTGTGCTTTGCCTCTAGTGTCATGGCCACCTGGAGGAGAGGCAGCCCCTTTCAGACCACGAGACGGCAGGGTAGGCTGATGTGGTGGACCCTACCACCTTCGAATTGTCCTTGTGCACCCCCCCTTTGATGAAGGTGGTAGCGCCCACACACTCAATCCCACCACCCCCACCTTTGGACGAATCCATCGCACCGAATCGGTGGGACATCAATCCGTGTCCTAAACTCTGTACAGCAGCCTTCACTCCACCACTGGCATTTAACTAGACGGAGGGACCCAACCTTCCCTTTAGATCTACGCATGGGGGAAATGCGCAGGCACCACGAACCCCCCCACCTTTCCACTCAAAGTTGGTTCAGTCGGACCCCACCTTGGGCGGGTGAAGGGAGGAGGCCGCCATGCTGGAATGAACCAAGATGTCGAATGAAATAGGGGTGGGGGACACGCCCCTGCAGGGCAGGAATAAAAGCCGCTACGGAAGGGAAGAGAAAAAGGAGGATGGAGGTGTAACTAGAGATCAAACATTACCTTCCACGTGCATAGGAGGCGGTGTGTTGAGATTCGAGTGACTCAAAATAAAATAAAAAACCCTAACAATCCGCTTTCCCCCCCGCGGGAGTTGGTGCGTGCCGCGTCGCGGTGGCCGCCGGGAGTCGCGCACATGGCCCGTGCGCAGCGCCGCCCCTCCCCCTTTCTTTCCGCAGCGCGGCCCAGCAGCGACCCATCCATGCAGGAGGCCGGGTCCCCGGAGCACCCGCCCGCCACCGACGGGCCGCCCGGCCGCCTCAGCCCTGAGGAGGAGGAGGACGAGGAGGAGGAGGAGCAGCAGCAGCAGCCGCCCGCGCCCGCCGAGGAGAAGACCGCAGCCGGGGAAACGCCCGAGGTAGAATCTGAGGAGGAGGCCGAGGCGGAGGAGCCGGAGCCCAGCACTGAGGCCGAGGCCGAGCCGCCCCCGGAGCAGCAGGAGGAGGAGAAGAAGGAGGAGGAGGAGGATGACATCTCCTTCAGCGACCCCGAGGACTTCGTGGACGACATCAGTGAGGAAGGTGGGAGGCCTTTTAATGAGTACCCTGCACTCAACTTTCGGGGGGTGGGGAGGGTTATCTTTGCAGAGCAAGGCGTGCCACGCGTCGGAAGAAGGGCTGCGGCCGTGACACGACGGGTGTCCGATGCGGTGTGGGTCTGTGGGTGATACGACGGCTGCCACCTCTTACCCCAGGGGTGCGCAACTCGACGTGCCTGGGCTAGAGGGGATGTTGGCCACAGCTAGGAGGGACGAAGGCCAGGTTATTCCTGGGGAATTCAAAGCGCCGTGCCGTGTGCGCGTGCCGAATTTTTTGCTGTGGTTTTGAGAGGAGGAAGGGGCGAGAGAGAGCTGGGGTACCCGTGTACCCCCAGGGGTGCGCGTACCACAGGCTGAGAAACTATCCCCATGGAGATCGACGATGGGACCTCCGTTCAAATAAACGTTCGGTGTTGAATTGGATTTATGCAGTGGGCCGGTGGGGTTTTGAAATGTGATAGTGACGTGTGTTTGCCTTCCTGACGTGAAGTCGGTCATGTCCCGCCATCGTGTGATGAATCGTTCTGGAATAGGGTCAGAGTTGGCAACTCGCTCCAGCCTGGGCTGGTCCTGTCCGTGCTCTGCACGGGTCTCTCTCTAAACGTATCTCGGGAGTAAGGTACCAGAGGTAAGTATCTGCCGCTAAATGCATCTTGGAAGTAAGAAAGGAGAGGTAAGTATCTCCCCATTCCCCGCTCCAGGACAGCAGCGGGAGAGTTTGATCGCGTCCTCTGCCGGCCCCGTGGTTCACGAGTTAGAAACGGTTCTAACCCAGGGACCGTGTAAGGCACGTCGGGCAAACGTCAGTGACGCTTGTTCGGAGCTTGCTGCATTGTTGTCGGCAATCCCTCGATTTGGGATGTTTTCCAGCTCCTCGGTGAGTCTTCAGGTGACTTGAGGGGGCGGGTTGGTCTAAGGACACAAGCAGACAAGGTTCTTTGCGTCAATCTGATTTTCTTTTATTTAGACCAACTCAAGTAGTTGGGAAAATTCTTCTTTGCAAGCTTTTGGGGATAAATACCCTTCTGAAGGCTGAGGATGTCTGGAGTTGGTGTGGATGGAAGAGCACAGGTGACCTAAGACCCTGGAGTTATAAAGCACTGTGAGAAATAGTGAGACTGGGAAGGGTCCAGGCGTTGTCGAGAAGATCTGCCCAAAGCTCACCTCTTAAGAAGGAAATATCAGAGACTCCTCTGTTTAGTACTGGAGGTTCCACATCAAGGTTATGTGGAGAATGGCTGTGCGTATCTATCCCCCACCATGCGTAGTTGAGAGGAGTACAGCTTCTGGGGGGGGGTGTTCCCCTCTCCCTACGAGTTGAATACTTCTCTCTTTTTTTTTTTTCTCTCTTCCTTTTCATAGAGGGGTCTTGATGACCCAGGTGAGACTGCACAGAGACATGGATGCTGTAAGCAGCTGTGCACTGAACCAGTATTTACTGTTCTGACACCGGTGTTGCTATCTTTGTGTTAACTTATGCATCAGTTAAAACAGCTTTGTGCAACTGAACAGAACCATTGTGCAAAACTGCTTGGAGAGTATGTGGTCAGAAGCTTTTTATTTAATTAGGAGTTTGGGAGAGACCTATTTTGTCTGTAGGCTGAGTTTGGGTTTTTGATAAGTTTTTAACCTCTATTCCAGACCCAGACAGGTTTGTCTTTTCCCGCATCATTGTCAGTGGTTATACTTGGCCATCTGCTTCTTGAAAACTACTTTCCTTTGAAAGGAAAGTAGTTCCTCCCAACTTCGCAACTCAATTGTAGTTGAGTTGACTATTTTTGAAGGAGAAATTGAGTGATATTTCCATCCCAATTCACTGAATTAAGGCTAATACCATATTTGTGATAAATCGTGGTTGTTTCAACATCTTCAGTGCCTGTTCCTATATTATGTGAAAATGATTTGAGGATCACTCCACTTCGTTTCATTGCTCTTTTACTGCTGATTGTGACCCGAGTCATCAGTGAATTCCTCTTACTTGGCCTTCATCCAGCAAGAAGTGAGATTAAGTAGACCGGATCATCTGCTGTGTCAAGTTCGGGTTGGGAAAGAGGGTGGTCACAGTGAACCAGTTAGACCCAAGGAAACCTGTTGTTGATGGTCCCCAATGGAGTATTCACTAGGTGAGGCTAGCTGGACCACAGCATCTTGGACCACACCCCTCCCTCTTGTTTCTGGAGGGTGGTATAGGAACTGGTTACACCAGCTTATTTTTTGTGTACTTGCTTTCTTAGGATTGTACGGGATGTAAAACCTCTTAATTCAGTCCTGATTGACACAGCAGACAGATATAGATAGCAGACCTACAGAAAGCCTATCAACATAATGAATTACTTAGTTTTTCCAGGTATCTGGGAAACTTTTTCTGGGAACTTTAGTTTTGAGAAGGGTTAGGAGAAATAAATGACTTCACAGGAGGAAATTGTTCCATCTGACTCTAAACTGACTTGCATCTCTTCTTTGGTATCTTACCTTCTTGTTCCACTTTTGGAAATGCTTCCATTTTGCTCTTAATTTTTTCTGTAGAAAAATATGAACTCTTTGAAAGAGAGTGACTTAGAAAGCTCTGAATGTGCATCTTGAGAGTGCTGTGTATGTTGGGGAATATAATTTGTTTGGCAGCTGTCTCTTTTGGCATCAGTTTTTCCCTTGGGCAATAGCAAAGAGGTTTTAATGCCTAGTCTTAAACAGGTGGATCCCTGCCCAGTATAATTGCAGAAAAAGTGATTGAAGTTGAGTGGAGGATGGTCTCAGTTGCCAGTCTTTGCATTGTGAACCCCATAAGTCAATGAATACCATTGTTAAGTGCTGTGTAAACATACCATTTTAGCTCAGTTCAACTTCTTATGTTTGTTTAATAAGGAATAGCTGTTTCACCAGGGAATTGGAAGTTACCTCTCATATATTGCACCTGAACTCTGAGTTGTCCTGGACAGGTTGGTTTTTAGAACTGTATGTTGCTTTTGGTTTTGACTGTTTTTCTTTCCCTTGTTCTAAATTACGAAAAAGGCATGAGGAAAACTGCTATACTTTGCACACCTGACATGTAAATGAAATTCAATAGAAGAGAATTTCTCTCCACCCTTTGTCACTGGTTCAAGTTGTTACTTTTAACCTTTTTAACTTCTAACGTGAATGCATGTACATGCATTCAAAGGGCCTGCCAGGAATTCATAAGGGCGTTTCCTAAACTTAGGGATATTGTCTGGTCTTTTCTTGTGTCACTGGAAGATCTCTGTGGGTCTGAAGGTTGTTTCTGGGCTCTAATACTCATTGATGGGACAAAGATGTCTTCATTTTTTTTAATAAAGACTTTCTTCATCCAAAGTTAGTAGTACTCACTACTTACTGTTTCCAAATAACTCGGATATAGATGCATTCCATCCCTTCTCTGTTTTGTACTGCTATCTTTAATCAAGGCAAATTTCCCCACGTAAGTGAGGAATCAAGAATATAATTCTTGACTTCTGTAATGCCACCTTTTCACTAGTTTTCAAATCATTGTTCTCTTCCAGCTAAGACCAGACCTGATACCTTGATGCAGAAGTGAAAGACTTCGGGCAAGATGTTAATTTGTTCCACTTTTTTTGTTAATCATACAGGGTTTTTTTTCATTTACCCTTTATAGCCAACCTTGCTAATGATACTGTGTTGCTCAAAAAATGTATGCTAAAACAGGACAGCGTGTCCTGTGTAGTCTTGATAATGTTTGCTTCTGTTTATTCATAAGCCAGAACTGTGTGAAGCAAAGTGCACAATGTATAGAAGGCTTACTATATAAATTGTCTATCCATTCATGCTAAAATAACAGATGGCTTAGCTTCCTGATTGATAAATGCTTACTTTTTGAATTTCAGGCAATGCCAGATACCTCCCCAGCAATCTCCCTTTTGTTCTTCAGTTTTACCCAGAGGCAGAAACAGTTCTAATATGAGCACATCGGTTGCCAACCTTTTAACTAAAGGTGTATGTACTTCTAGCATCTCTGTGTAAGAGGATGCTCTAGAATTAGGTCAGTCACTGCAGTCCTGATTCTGTAGTTGGGAGGTGCCATTTTGGTTAATGGATTTCAGTGCATGTGTTAGCTCGGTCTGTGGGATTTAACTTGCAGTAACTCCCCATTCCTCAGTTTAGGTGGCTTTTGTTAGACATCTCTCGACTTGGATATACCCAGAAACCTTTGTGCAGCAGAGTATAAAATCTAACAAGTACATTAGAGTGATGTTACAGTTGCTCTGGGAACTGTAGTCTACTGTGTCTTGGATACGTTGAATATGTATCATTTATGCCTTTAATAGAACGGCGTGCGCACAAATGGGTGGTTATAATTTAACTTGAGAGATGCCTTTTAACTATAGTTTGTTAAATAACAGCAGTTCCATTTGCAGAGTTAAGTCCTGGCCTCGGTAGGAATTGTATGTCTGACTGTTCTGGGTCCCAGGCAGGTACAGTCTCAATCACAGCATTATGGTTTAAAGCAGCATTTCTCAACCTGTGGGTTGTGACCCAAAAGTGTGTGTCAAGAATATATGGAAGGGTTGCAAACAAATTTTAAAAAATGGATTCTCCTTTAAAGGAGAAAAACATGGGAAACTGGGTTTTTCCTTGCAAGCTGTCAGAGTTTCAGCCTGCAAGGGGCTGCTTGGGTGTCCCCCTGCCTCACACACCCCCTGCCTGGGGGTGGGAGGTAGTGGGTCAGGAGCAAGGGGCACTGGCAGGGCTAGAGGACTGTTTTTTACTTGCACTATTTACTGCAGGGGTGGGCAATTATTTCAGGCGGAGGGCTGCTTACTGAGTTTTGGCAAGCCATGGAGGGCCGCATGACAGACAGCAAGGGGCAGACAAATATTTATTTTCTAAATTTTTTAGGGACCCTGTGGGCCAGATAGAATGACCTGGTGGGCTGCATCTGGCCCATGGGCCATATTTTGCCCACCCCTGATTTACTGGGTTGGGACTGGCCATCAGTGTTTACAGATGGGTCCTGGTTCAAAAGAGCATTGAGTACCATTGGTTTAAAGATTATATTGCTTTTAATATCCTTGTTCAGTTAGAGAAACTTGTTGCTCGGGGGGGGGGCATCCTACCAAATAGAATCCTCTGAGTAATTTAAAGGGTAGTGTATTAGGGGTGATTAGGAAGATGAATAGAATAAAGATAATATGTCAGGTTGTCAAGAGAGGTTGCAGATGAACAAAAACTGTATGTATATCTTTGCTAAACCATTTTTAAACATGGTGTAAGTAAACTTTCCTCTGTCAGGAAACTTTCCTCTGTCGGGTTTTGAATGAGCATAAGTTCCCAACCTGAATCCTATGATGATGACTTGACATGGGAAAATGGTAGGCATGTTGAAGAAGAAATTTAAGTTGGAGATTAGGAGGAATCTGACTATGAGGGGAGTCAAACTTGGGAACAGGCTACATAGAGAAACTGTGGAATCTGCACCCCTGGCAATTTTCAAGAGCAGGTTGGACAGACGCTTAGCTGGGTTGGTTTGATTCAAAGATTTCGTAGACATTAGGGCTGGAAGGGATCTTGGAAGATCATTGAGTCCAGCCCCCTGCCCCAGGGGCAGGAAGTCAGCTGGGGTCAAAAGATCCCAGCAAGATAAATGTCCAATTGACTCTTAAAGGAGTCCAGAGTAGGTACTTGTGCCACCTCTGGTGGCAGTCTGTTCCAGGCCTTGGGGGCTCAGACAGTAAAGAAGTTCGTCCTTATGTCCAGCCTGAAACGGTCTTGGAGGAGTTTGTGACCATTTGACCTTGTCATTCTTCGGGGCACTTTGGTGAACAGGTGTTCCCCTGAATCTTGATGTACACCCCTTATATACTTATAGGCAGCCACCAGGGTCCCTTCTGAGCCTGTGCTTTTCCAGGCTGAAGAGTCCCGTAGCTCTCAGCCTTTCATCACAAGGCCTATTTTCCTGCCCTCTGATCATGCATGTGGCTCTGTTCTGGACTGTCTCAAGCTTCTCCACATCCTCTTTAAATTCTGGAGCCCAGAATTGGATGCAGTACTCCAGCTGTGGCCTCACCAAGACTGAGTACGGTGGGAGGATGACATCCTGGGATTTGCTAGAGAAGTATCTATGGATGCAAGCCAGAGGTTTTTTTGCTTGCTTTGCCGGCTGTGACATCCCATTGATGGCTTAAGTTCATCTTGGGGGTCGTGTTTGACCACAAGTCCCTTTCAGCCATGGTGATAGCAAGCATAGCACTGTTGAGCCTATAAGCACGCTGCAGGTTTTTCTTTCCAAGTTGGAATAACCTGCATTTTTCGGTGTTGAAGGCCATCAGGTTTTTGTCCGCCCATTTTCCGAGCCTGTCAAGGTCGGCCTGGATCACCGTCCTGTCTTCAGGTATGGACGCTTTACCCCAAAGTTTGGTCAGTGGTGATTCTGCTGTAAACAGGGAGTTGGACTAGGTGACCTTTTGAAGTCCCTTCCAGCCCTGCTGTCCTATGATCTTATGTCCGCAGGTTGTAAATTGGGTCTGGTGATATTACTGCAATAAGAGACAAAGAACATGGCTAACTCTTGTAGAGATGTAATTCATGAGAAGTTTGGAGGATTTCTAGGACTAGTTTCAGCACAGTGTTTTGTTTTAGCAACATTGTCTAATGCAAACTGTTCCTACTTTGTCAAGCAAAAGACTGGTATTTAGGAATTATGCCTTTCAGTAAATATAAATGGCTGTACAGTATTGATCCAGGACCAAAATAATGTGACCAATTTAAATTTTTTAGTGAATTCAATCTTTTTTTGATTGTTGTACACACTTTCTGGTTTTCTTCTTCTAGTTAGGCTCTTGGTTACTATCAAACTGCTTGAAGTACAAGAAGGATGATTGCAACCAGCTATGAAATTTTGACTTTTCTTTCTCTTCTCCATTCCAGCGACTAGTGTCTGAGCATTTTTTCTGATTTCTTTCTCTTTGCAGAATTACTTGGTGATGTGCTAAAAGACCGGCCACAGGAAGCAGATGGAATTGATTCAGTAATTGTAGTGGATAATGTTCCTCAGGTTGGACCAGACAGACTTGAGAAGTTGAAGAATGTCATCCACAAAATCTTTTCCAAGTTTGGGAAAATTATCAATGAATTCTATCCAGAAGCAGATGGGAAGACAAAAGGGTGAGTAATGAGACCTTCTGCTGAAAATGAAACCAAAAAGTTGCTCAGAATTTAGGTTTTGATTGCTGATAGATATTTGTGGTCTGAACGTTTGATGGTGTAGCAGAGGATGGTATCGGTAGAGCCGTGTTGTTGCTTTTATGCTGTGTTAGTGATGTACACACGCTCTGAGGAGCACTAAAAGCTAACTGGCTTCCTGCAGTACTGTCCACAGGGTAATAATTGTAGTTGAGTTGAACAAATGGAAAGTGAACACTTTTTATAGGGCTTGGAGAAAGGAAGTAGGTCTTATTGATTGCTATATAGTAGAGTGATAGAGAAGTAAAAATAAGACATTCTTAGTTAACAAATGTGTGTGTGTCTTATGGTGGTGAAAGGCTGGCATAGCCTTTTCAGGTTGGGAAGAAGACTTAGTAGGACCAATTGGAGAAAATAAAATAACTCATCAAACTTTAATATCAATTTCATGGGTTTGTAATAATGATATCACCCTTTGGACTTTCTCTCAGTCAAGATATGCTTTTCAGAACAGTCTTGTACCTTTTAAAAAAAAAATTCGTACTACCAATTCTAGCTCTACTAGGCGTCAGATTTAACTTGAATTGGAGGGGACAGGGTTGTTGGATATAATTTTGGTTTAAGAAGAGAGCAGTAGGTTTGTCTTGAAGACCCCAAGTCTATTACATTTTTTCTTTTCTTTTTTTAGTATAATCTTGGGCTCACCCACTTCTATGCATGGCATGCTGTTCAACTGAGAAAAGCTGCTTATCTGTCCATTTGAGCGTAGCTTGTAGTGCAGCTCTAGTGTGTAGATATATCTTCACAATCTCTTCTGTTTACAACAAAACCGTTTTTTCCAAGTCTTGAACTTGGGGCCAGAAAAATGGACTGAGCTATCAGTTCATATACCTAGTATGTGGCTACTTAAATGACCATTCTTACACTGATTTATTGCAGGTATATATTCTTGGAGTACATGTCCCCAGCTCATGCTGTTGATGCTGTAAAAAATGCAGATGGATACAAGTTGGACAAACAGCATACTTTCAGAGTCAATCTTTTCACGGACTTTGACAAGTGAGTTGAGACATTGGCCTATGTTTATTCCCGCAGAAAATATTGTTCTCTGCTTCTGATAAGAGGTATTTGCAATATGTCTAACTGATCAAACCACTTTTCTAGGTACATGACCATCAGTGATGAATGGGAAATCCCCGAGAAACAGCCATTTAAAGACTTGGTAAGTTTTGGAAGGATTAATATCTAATTTTTTGTTTGATGCAGTCATGTGGGCTGTTTGAAAACATTTAGTTTATTGCTTAAATACAGAACAAAACTACATTAGTGACACTAACAGCTATGGCTGCTTAAGTATTAATGTTCTCTCTTACACCTCATGAAAAGTGGCAGCTTATCCAAAATGTGCACTGGCTCCTTGGCAAAGAGAAAAATGGGGATTGTGTTTCAGTTTGTATATGACTTCTTAAGAGTTCTTAAAACCAGTTTGATGATATAACGTTTTGCAGAAAAACTTCTCCATCTCTGTTCACTTTTTAAATATACCCAACTGAGCGCTGTATCTTTGATTCTTTACACAGAATTTACTTGAGACATTGTCCTAGATAAAGTGTAGAATAACTTCTCCATATTGAAGGTTGAGTTGTTTGATGAGAGGTAAACAGACCAGTGAACTGGGTTTCTTCCAGTTGTAGCTGTTTTAGCTTGTTGCTTATAGTGTTTTTTCATTAAGTAGAGAAGTGATCAAGCTTTTTTTTTTTTTTTTTTTTTTTTTTTTTTTTTTTTTTTTTTAAATGCTTTCACCCAGGAGCATGAACATGTTAGTTTTGTGAATTTGCCCTTCCAGTTTCTGATTTTTCATTTTCTGTCCTCTTTTAGGGGAATCTACGCTACTGGTTGGAAGACCCAGATTGTAGGGATCAGTACAGTGTGATCTTTGAGTCAGGAGACCGCACCACCATCTTCTGGAATGATGCAAAGGAACCTGTCCAAATTGAAGAAAGAGCAGTGAGTACCCCTGAAAATAGCTGTCTGTTGCAAATGCAGTATGGTTGAGATGCTGAAAAATGGGAAACAAAAGTGCACCTGAGTGGGATGATGTTTGGTTATAGGAAAAAACAATTGCTACTCTTTTTTTATTCAATTAAAACAGCTGTATTTCCTACTGTTCAGGGTACAGAAGGGTAAAAAGGAAAAATGAAGGAGGCAATTTCATTACTCTGTAGCAATACCATTGGCTGCTAAGGAATGAAAATTGTTGAAGAAAACTTGTTCTGCTACTTGATTGTGACCTTCAGTTAGCCTCCCTATCTGTATATTGGGGGTAATACCCAGGCTGATATGTTTAGATCAAAAGCCTAGGAGTGAAAATTCAGAGTTCAAGAAATACTTTAACAGTAGGTGTGTCTACACATGCACTTGATCTGGGTTCGGTTTACTCGTGAGTAAACTTCTGGGGATTAAGTGCTCCCCAGCAAACATCTACACATGCAGGGATTAGGCAGCAGATTTGCTGCTCTGGGCACCAAACTTCTTGCAGTGGGCCCCTACTGCCACCAGGGGGAGCTCCAGGCTTCCCCTGGGTGCTCGACCAGGGACTGGCAGGGAGCACTGTGCCAGGAGATGGCTATCTCGTGGTCTGGGGCCTGCCTTCTGCTGGGTATCCCCCTGCCATGGCTGCAGGGAGCTCCTGGCCCTGGCTCCCCAATCAGGGCCAGGGACTTGGAAAGAGCTGCAGGGGACGAGCTAGCTAGCTGCCCCACTGGTGGATCAGGGCAGTGGACTGGGATCTACCCCACCCCTCCAGCTCTTTCCAAGCTCCTGTGCCTCGATTTACTTTGCATTTGCAGGTAGCAAATTTACTCATGATTAGGGAGGTTTACCATGTAAAAAGCATATGCACATGTAGACACATGTTTACTTCTCTGTAAACTATGCTGCTGCACAGTTAAGCATCTTGTGTAAACGCTTGATGAGTAGAATTTACTACTGTCAAATGTGTACTGCTCCGCAACATTGTAGAGCTACCTTCCCTGTTACCAGGTCAGGGGCGGGCAGTTATTTTGGGTGGAGGGCTGCTTATTGAGTTTTGGCAAGCCATCGAGGGCTGCATGATAGGCAGCCAGGGACAGGTTAACATTAATTTTATCTGGGCCAGATAGAACAGCTTGGTGGGCCACATCTGGCCTCCGGGCCTCATTTTGCCCACCCCTGTACTAGATACTTTTTAGCCAAGGTTCATACATGCACAACAGGAGTGGTCAGCCTGCAGCACGTGACACAAAGCACAGGCAGCCTGTTTGTGGCATACAGCAGATTGGAGGGGAGATGGGCAGCACAGCGGCAGATGGGGCAGGGATCAGAGCAGCAGATTGGGTGGCGATCAAAGTGGCACTGGGGAAGAATACAGAGTTTAATTTGTGGCATGCCTACCAAAAAGTTTTGGCCCCATTTGCATAGAAGATGCCCTGACTGTGGGTCTGGAGCTGTCTGAAGTTCAAAAGCAACCTTCTTATTAATCCAAGGACAAGTTCTGTAATGTTCTTTATCACTTGCACTAGGTGCTGCCAGAGGCTTCCCACCACTGTCAGCTTCTACTTGCACCTGATTAGTAGGTTTCTGAAACAAATTCCTTGTGTGGTATTTTCCTGAAAGCCTTTAGACTAAGGAAGTAGGAAACGTGTTAAGTTGCTTTGGTTTTACCTTTATCTTTCTCAGACGTTTGTACTGCAGGAGTTGTGACAGTGTAGGATCAGAACTGTCCAACTTCTAAGTTCCTGGGGGCCCCTTGACCTGAGGGTTGCACCAGTGGGACTTGCCACAAGGCACAGTGTGCAGATGCCTCTTTCCATTTCCCCTTCCTCCACCGTTGCACCATGTTGCCCCCATCTCTTGCACTGCTATGCCATGCGAGCACAGTTCTCCTTACATGCAGACCTGCCTTCAGCTCCCTGTGCTACCCCACTGTCCCGCCTCCTGAGGGGAAAGCATAAAGTGGTGCCTAGAGGAGGGAAAGGGGAGCTCAGAGACCTCAGGAGTGGTGGGAGAGCAGTGGCTGGAGGCTGTACGCTAACCTCTTGCAGGCCATGAGTAGCCTGTGGGCCCACAGTTGGACAGCTCTGTTGTAGATCATAGATATTGAAAGTCTTCCTTGAAATCCATCAGCCTGAATATAATTAATCTGTATAACTTTCCCTATAGCGGTGGACAGAAACCTATGTCCGCTGGTCTCCCAAGGGTACCTATCTGGCTACATTCCATCAAAGAGGAATTGCTTTATGGGGAGGAGAAAAATTCAAACAGATCCAGAGGTTCAGCCACCAAGGTGTACAGCTCATAGACTTCTCACCTTGCGAAAGGTATGTCATGAAAAGATGTCTATCCCTGGGGGGCCCCATAATGAGAGGATGTATTAGAACATCAAGTATAAAATATGTTTATTTTTCCTCTCTTCTTTTCAAATCCCATGGATCTTCAATCTTCATTTTTTTTTGTTACTCTTTGGAGTTTGGTGCCTTCTGGTGGCTATCCTTTCTAGGGGAGGTGTTGAGGGGAAGTGAATGTATACAAAACTGTCTGATGCGACATAACTCAGAATGACTGGTCTACACTGCAGGATTGGATTTAAGACACTTTAGCTCTAAAGAAAGCTTGCTAGTTCCATGCATCTTTCTAAAGTCCACAAAGGGGATGGGATGCTGGAGTTCAGTCAGTGATGTCTGTCTCAGCAAAATGTTCAAATGATCAGCTGTTACCCTGACATGAATTCTTCACTCTTGGTGATATAGCAACTATGTTAGCAATGGCTGGTCATAATAGTTCCACAGAACCTTTGGTCACTATTCTGCTTCTGTCAGTCTTCTGTTTATAAATGCTTAATGGGAGTGGTTTGGTGCAAGATGAACATAATGGATTTCCTTGTTGACAACCGAAGTATATCTTCAGTACAGGCAGGGGGGAAAAAAGTCTACCATACTGTGCTCAGCCTTTGCAATGACCACCTGATAAATGTCCAGCTGTAAACCAAAATTACTTGCTATGTACCTCATTGGTCGAGGTTGATCTTCCTTTTTCAGTATGCAGTGTGGTGGGTTTTTACATATATTGGGTGCCTTCTATCCTCCCTGTAACTAATATTATGGTAAAGAAGCCCCATACTACTCCTCTAGGTACTAGACAGTAGCCTTTCCATGCACCTGGCTTGTTGGGGGGGAGGATGGGGGCAGACCGTCTGACAGAATAAACTGTTCAATCAAGTAACATAACTTTTTTGGCTAGTGAAATAGATAAGGCACTTGGTTACTATGGTGACAAGAAGACAGTTAAGACTTTTTGAGCCACTTGATTTGTGAAATGATATATAGGGATTATAATTACATTGCCCTTTCTTGAGAGCATCCCCTCTGTTACAAAGGGATTAAAGCAGATCCCTGATACTTAAGCTTTCTTCAGAACTTCCTCAGTAGTGTTTGGAGAAATGGACTGAAGAGGTAGCAATAGAACAGAAAACCTTGACTTCTGTTTGTGTCCCTTAGCTCACGAGCAGAAGAGGCATACATTTTTCTTACATCATCTGAAACTGATGTTTACCTACTCCCTAAGTTTTAAATAGGTGCTGTGAAATTGGCAAAAGACTCATTTAATTTCATTCTCCTACTTGACATAATTGAATGAGCTAGTGTCATTATAGCAAGGCATCTGAAACCAGGAATGACTGCTTTTATCTGCCCTGAAATCATTCGATTGTGAACTTGGCAGTACACCTAGAGACAGACTGCGTAAAAGAAATTAACTCTGCTTAGCCGATTCAACTCTGAAGCCGGTAAAAGTGTATATGTTGAAATGTTAGATCTCATGAGAAAAGTAAAGCTAATCACTTTCCTTCTCATAGGTACATGGTGTCCTTCAGCCCTCTAATGGACACTCAGGATGACCCTCAGGCTATCATCATCTGGGATATCCTAACTGGTCAGAAGAAGCGAGGATTCCATTGTGAAAGTTCAGCCCATTGGCCCATCTTTAAGTAGGTTGGCTAAAAACAGTAGAGGAGGAAGCCTCTAGTTACTGATGCACTAAGGCAGAGCTTTCCAAACTTTTCATGTTGGTGACACACTTTTTAGACATGCATCATTTCGCGACACAGTAATTCAGTTCCGGGGGAGGGGCCAAGGGAAGCAGATAGGAGTAAGGGAGCTCCGTGGTGCCCTTCCGCAAAATTTTCTGCATTTCGCGCGACACACCTACACACTGCCGCCGACACACTAATGTGTCGCGGCACACAGTTTGGAAAGCTCTGCACTAAGGGAAGCAGTTCTGATGGCATACATTCCTCTTATTTGTTTAGGTGGAGTCATGATGGCAAATTTTTTGCTCGAATGACATCAGATACCCTCAGCATCTATGAAACACCTGTAAGTGCTTAGTGCATAACACCTACTGCTTTGTAATGTCATCTCGACCCAAGGCACCTATTTTTTTTTTTTTTAATTTTCAGCTGTTTACTGCTAAAATTTGTCATAAGAGGAAAACCTGCCTTTTAGTAAATATCTTTTAAAGGGTGAGAAATCCCCCTTGTCTTGACTTGCTCTCCTCAGGCCCCCAGCACTTCTCATTCAGTAATACCATTCCTTAATTTCACAGAAGACTAAAGAGCAATGTAAGTTGTGTAAAGAGCCTGCAACAGGGATATCAAACTCATCTGGCTCCATGGGCTGGATGAAGGACATGGAGTAGTCCACAGGCTGAATCAGGCCCACAGGCTAGCAATGTGCACTGCATACAGTGCAGGGCTGCAGCTGGCGCACATTCTGCACAGGTGGTGCGCTTTGGGGTGTGCACTATGTGCAGGTTGCAGGGCCACTCAAAGATCCACAGGCAGCACTCTGGCCCAGATCATAGGGCTCCATGGGCTGGATCTGGCCCATGGGCTGTACATTTGACAACCCTGGCCTACAGGATTGGAGTTGCTCAGTACCTCTCAACTCTTCAGGGCAGATCCTTGCTGAAAGGCCTTAAATTGTCTACATCCTGCTTTATTCTCCCCTTTGTCTTTTCATGTTACCATGCATTTATCATTGGATTATAGTAATTGGGAGAGTAATAAAAATCTGGCATTTTCAGGTGCTTTAATTGATGAGGGTAGGGGGCAAGGCAATACATATCTGTAAGTATTTGTAACCTGTAAACTCATTGGGTTTTTTTTCCCATATAGTCTATGGGCCTACTGGACAAGAAAAGTTTGAAAATCACTGGGATAAAGTGAGTATTCCTTTTAGGTCTGCTGTCCCGGTTTGTGTTATTCAGGTGCATGGAATGCTAGTTTCATATATATGTGTAGATGGCCACTGAAAAGTATAAGGCACTTGATTACTATGGTGACAAGAAGACACCTCTGACTTTTTAATGTGACCTTATAATGGCCTGCAATATACATTTTGCTCCGTAACTTTCGTACTGAGCTTGGTGACTTGGATTTGGTTACACTTTGTCTGGCTTGTCTTCCAGAGGCCCTTTCAGTCTAAGATTTAAGAAACCGAGAGAGAGAGAATCCACATTCCTAGTGGTTAATTTCCTCAGATGCTAAAGATAAGGCCTATCTTTTTTCTCTGTAATGTTTAATGTCTGGCTTGAGCCTCTCACTGGTTCTTGTATATTTCCCTAGCAATTTAAAGGGCTTTTATATTACTCATTGTTTCCTCTCCACAAAGGTACTTTTGGTACCTGTAATTTTGGTCTTTTTGCTTGCTTGTCTTATTTTTTTGGTAATATATAATGCTTGGGTATAGAGTGTTTTGAATACTGTTGTGTAAAGCATCCCCATTTCTTGGGTCACAAATCATCAGTACAGCTATGAGAGAAATTTTTGCCCTGAAAACTTGTTTCTGTAATGATTACAGCAGTAGCAATAGTTGTAGGTCCTGTGTTAGTTTGTCATTGAACTGGAATATGTTGTCTTTTTGCAGTTATGCTTTGTGATGTTGCTAGAAATAATACTCTACAATCCCAGGATATTGGCTTGCTTTTTTTTCCTCCGTTTTTTTTCCTTGATCTTTGCTGTGGAGGAAACCACCTGTGTAGGAATAAGAGGCATTTGTCACTTCTACCCTTTTTCTGTAACTCTGGTCCATTTTACATATAATTTCAAATCTTGTCATGACAATGGAAATCTGTTTTGTGGTCTTGGGACTTGACTTAATCTGCTGTATGTTATGGTATCAAAGCCAAACCAAAATGTATTTGTTAACTTAAACTCATTTGCATGTCAGTAAAGGATCTCTTTAAGATATTTGTCTATCTATAGCAGGGGTAGGCAATGTTTTTTGGCCGGAGTGCTGAAAAAACCACAATGTCTACCTTGGAAGGTGCCAGAGCGCTGACATGCTGGAGTCCGGAGCAGCTGTTTGCAGCGTCCTGGCTGCAGCCGGCCCACAGAGGCCAGTTTGCTTGCAGCAGGGCTTGCAGCCTCCCAGCTGCCTGCTGGGAGCAGCTTGGGCTCTGTGGCTGGTAGCACCTGCTTGGAGCCCAGGCTGGCGGTGGTGTACCGAGCAGAATGGCCTTGCGTGCCATGCATGGCACACGTGCCGGGGGTTGCTGACCACTGATCTATAGGCTTAAAATAGAGGGTGTTATCTAGCACCTGCCGGAACAAGTAACTTGGTTTCTGGCATTTTCTTTTTGCATAATTCCCATTGCTATCCCAAAATAAATAATGTGACCTTTTCTCTTTCTCTTTCCCATGTTTCAGAGAGCATTAAAGAAAGATTCTGTGAAGATTTCTTTCTTTAAAGCATTCAGAAAATTAAACATGCCCAATTGCAAGAGAAGTGTTTCTAACACAGTATAATGGGCTGCCTTCTTGTAATCCATTTATTTAACTCATCTCCCAGATCAGCTGAAATTCTGTAGTTTGAGATGAGGGAATGCCACCTCTTTTCCTAGATCTAATTGCACTGCTTTTGCTGCACTCTTAAGTGGTAAATATGCAAAAGACCCATGTTTGATCTGCTGAGACAGGAAGCTTAACTGGAGCGTCACCAAACTGGTTCTGGTAAGTTTGTTGTAGCACTTGATCTGAGTTTTGTGCTTCTATCTGCAGCCTAGTTTTAGTGTCAAGATACCTATTAACTAGATATAATTTGAAAATGTTTTGGTGATTCAGTGCAGAAACTTGTTTCTCAGCTTGCTTGTAGCATCTTTAAGTGGTGGTCAGGAAACTATACTCTTATAACAGTCCTGCTGTTTTCATTTTCATCCTGTAGAGATTTTTCATGGTCTCCAGGAGGTAACATAATTGCATTTTGGGTGCCTGAAGACAAAGACATCCCAGCAAGGGTGACACTGATGCAGCTCCCCTCCAGACAGGAAATTCGTGTGCGGAACCTGTTCAATGTGGTAGACTGCAAACTACACTGGCAAAAGAATGGAGATTACCTGTGTGTGAAGGTAGACAGGACTCCCAAAGGTACACAGGTATGTAGTCTCAGGCATGTTCATAAACTGAACTCTGCCTGTCTTTCTGAAGCTTTATTAGCATTCAAAGTGGATGGAAAGAAATGTGTACATCATTGCATCATGTCAAAGTCAATATATCCACATATTGCCAATATTGTGAGGTGCCACAGATACTGTGCTACTTGCTTCTTAAGAACCTTAAGAACAGTATTCATCATGGGTTTGCAGTGGGAGTCTGTTATTTTTGAAGAATATGGAGAACAGAACCTCTTCCTGCTTTTGTTATATTCAGGAATCCAGGCTTTCCGTTTGCCACAGAAAAATGTATTAAAACTCTTTTTTTTTTTTTTTTTTTTCATTTTAAAGAGAAAAACATGGAAAACAGTGGGTTTCCCCTTGCAGGCTGGCAGAGTTCCAGCCTGCAAGGGGCTGGGGGGGAGCAGGAGGAGGGTGATCAGCAGGGGATGCCATGTGCATATGCACACGTATACATGCATGTGGCCACTAGGCAGCTTGGAGGGCAGCTCTCTCAGGTAAGTCTGGCAGGGGACAATTGAAGTACCCTTCATGTGGGAGGGAGTTGGCTGGGGTTGGGGCTGCTGGCCAGCCCGAGGCAGTGCATGGGGCTTGGGGTTCAGGCAGGGAGTGGGATGGGGCCACAGGCAGGTTGTCAGGGGCTGGCATGACTGGCTGGCTCCCTGCTGCTGCACACACTCCTGGGGAGGGCATGGGGGGCACATGTCCCCAGACATGAATGCCTGGTGCCTCCCATGACTGGCGACAAGTGGGGACTGCCTGCAGAAGCCGGTTGTGGCTTCAGCAGCGGCCAATTTCAAGGGGGGCACATGCCCCTCCTATGCATCGCCTATGCCCCCAGGTTTGTGCGTGGGGTGGAGGTGGGCAGCCCCTTGTTCCCCGCAGCAGCACCCAAGCCTCAGCTGATGCTCTCAGGTGGCGGTGGCTGCTGTGGCAGAGCAGAATGCAGAGCCCAGCTTCTGCCCTCCCCCATGAGCAGCATGGGTAGGGAAGCTCATTGCTGCCACCGGGAACCGTATGGTGCCCTGGTGAGGTGCCTCCTGGCCACCTGGCAGCAGCAGAGGCAGCAGTGAAGAGTTGTGCTCCTTGCTGTTGCTGGGCAGGCGGGGGGGACTTCACCAGGGCAGTACAGGGCTCCCAGAAACAGCAATAAGCTTTCCCACCTGGTCCCACTCTGTCCCTTTATGCCCTGTGCATTTGATCCTGGCCACTGGGCCACAGAGGCCCCCGGGGGAGGGCAGCAGGGCAAGGAGCCTGAGTCCACAATCGCCTCCCCCATGGGCTCTGCTCCGACCATGCCTCCTGTGGTGGAGGGGCAGCTGGGCTCTGTGGTGCGCTTGGACACAGCAGCTACTGCCTCCTGTAGGTGACAGCCAGGGCTTGGTTGCTGCGGGGGGGAGGCTGTGGACCTGGGTCTCTAGCCCCATATCTCTGTTAGCTGGAGGTTGGGGGGCTGTGGTTGGAGAGTGAGGGGCACCAGCAGGACCCAGGGAGCTGTGGCTGGGAAGTGAGGGGCAGTGGTATGGACAGGGCGCAAACATATTGGGGCTGCTCAGCACCACAAAGTGGGTTGTGTGGGGTGGGGAGAAACCGTCGTAGCTGGACTTGTGTTCTGGTGAGCGAAGGGGCCCAGGGGAGCTCTGATTTTTCCATGATAGTTTGTGTGGTATGCATGTGTGTTTCATTTTAATCATGAAAAAATGCAGATTTTGGGGGTGGTTTGTGGGTGAGGTGGTGGGCAGGGGGTTTAAAATTGGAGAATTTGCTGGCTTTAAGGAGAGAGAACCAGGATCCTGGGTTATATCTAATTTTATTGCAGCATAGTCTGTTGGAAGCATGGATTCTTAAAAGAAAAGACTTTTTTTTTCTTCTTTTTTTTTTTTTTTTAAAGCGGGTCTTTTTATTGGAATCGGATTTTTTTTTCCACAAGTTGCAATGTGTAGAAATGGCAACTTTGGGAACACATCTCAAGGTACTATGCCAGACTGATTTCCTATTAGAATGGCTTGTTCTCGGATTCCTTTACTGAAGATTTGACTAAACTTGGCTTTTGCAGGGTGTAGTGACCAATTTTGAAATCTTCCGAATGAGAGAGAAGCAGGTCCCAGTGGATGTGGTAGAAATGAAAGGTAATTCCAACTCTTCAGGTATCTCTGACTTGACAATGAGACGGGGTTCTCATTCTTTCTTACAAATTCCATTGTATTACTTGCACGACACTGGATGCGCTGTAAATGCTAGACAGAACACTTTTGGGTAAACACTTTTGTGTAAGAACTAAGGTTCTGCAGGAGTAACTTTTTTCATGGAAAAACTCAAGTTCTTCAGATTGTGTTCTTGTAGGGGACTTTTAAGAAGCCCCCTTTCCAGTCTCCTCCCCTGGATGTAGATGTCAGCTGCTTTGCTGGGAATTTAGACGCTCTAATTGGCAAATAAACTGGCAAACTGTAGTGCAAAATGTTGCTGCTAATGGCTCTTGACATGGGAAGGGCACCTTGGTATCCAGGGAATTTGACATGTTTGCTGTACTTAGCTTTAACAGTAAAAGAATTGATTGTTTGCTACAATACCTAATTGAGAAGATTCTCTAAGGTGGCGAAAGGTTGGGGGTAACACCATTGATTGGGAGATGTTCTTTATTCTGTGTTCTTCTGGTTCGCTGACTAGAAGTAAAGCAACAGTGCAAGTTGCAATAAGTTTCTCATAATTTATGCTCTTTTGACTTGAGCATCCAGGGTTTCTTCACTCCTGAATACAGAAATCGCTTGTAATTTGAAGTTGTGTAAAAAATGATAACTTGAAGATTGTGCTGCTGTTTTGTAAGACATTGGGTTTTGACAACTCTTTATTCTCTTACAGAACCTATCATAGCCTTTGCCTGGGAACCAAATGGTAGCAAGTTTGCTGTGTTGCATGGAGAGACTCCTCGAATTTCTGTCTCCTTTTACCATGTCAAAAATAATGGGAAGATAGAGTTCATCAGTAAGTGTAATTGAGTGCACAACTGAGGGTGGAAGAGACTAGAGATAAAGCACTTTTAAATGCAGCTACTGCCAGGTTTGTACTGTAGAGATCCAGCCAGTTGTGTAGCATTGAGTGTTTATACCAGACACTTCTTAACCCTAGTGCAAAGCGTAGGAGGAGTGTATCTGGAGCATGTTGTAGGCTAGCAATCTTGTGCAGGTGGAACAGCCCAAAGAGGAGTGTCAGACTCATTCTATAGTGAGAAGGCTCCCTTGGTCTGTGGGCTGGAAATAACAGGTTCACTTAGAAGACACTAATCTTGTTTGGCTGTGGCTGGAAAAGTTAAATAATGTTTAAAAGTAATTACAGGCATTTTAAACGGTATGGGCAAGTGCATGTTCAAAACTTCCTGTCCTCTGTACACTTCTGTCTTCATGTCTGAATCTTCCCTGTTCTCCCATCACTTCAGGAATTTCCTTCCTCTTATTTTGGTTTATTGTGTCTTTATTTCAATTTAACCTAAGTTATCAAGGAGTCAGCTAAAGATATTTTCAAACCAATACGTGTTAATCCGAGGCAACTGTAATGGTTTAATTACATTGGTTTCTAAACTGGTATGATTTTGTAGGCAGATAATGCCTTTAGAACTTCCTAACAGCTAACATTTTCTCTGTCATCAGTAGGAACAGATTCATATTGGGTTTCATTCTTCTAATAAAAATGCTATTTTAGGGATTTCAGTTGCAGAGCTTAGAAGCGTCTTCTGAGGACTATATAGAATACTCCTCAGCGTGTTTGCTGATAAGCTGATGGCAATGGGTTGAGGTTTCTGTAGGGTGGGTTGGTTGGTTGTTTTAGTGATTAAAAGTTCTGTTCCCTTTCAGAAACGTTTGACAAGCAGCAGGCAAACACGATATTCTGGAGTCCCCAAGGGCAGTTTGTAGTGTTGGCTGGCCTCAGAAGGTGAGTGTTTGTCATCTTAATCCATGAGCTCTGATTGAATCAGTAAAGTGAGTAGAAATGTCTGAGTTAAAAGAAGTCTTGTAATAAAACGTCTTTATTGTGCTGCCCTATAAAATAATCTCTAATATACAAGTAAAATCCTACCCATATGTCACCACTTCTATACCACACCTGGTTATATTAAGAGGATTACCTTTGTATAGAAGATCTGATTTTAACCTCTGGTAATCTCATTTTGACTCTTCCAGCTTTTTTGCCTCTCCAAGACTTGCATGAATTTTTAAATGACTATTAGTATCTTGCAAGTGATTTCCCCCTCCCCCCCCCCTTTGATAGATAAATTCTTGAGAGCATGATAGGGGATGGGGCACAGAGCTGGCAAGGGCTGCTAGACAGGGCAGACTGGGAGTGAGCTCTGGAGTGAGTCATTTGACCCCTGAAGAAGGCATCTGTCCATGCAGGAAGTGGAAGAGGGTAACAGTGGCTGCTGATGCAGAGGCTGGTACCAAGTAATGGCAGTGGGGGCAGAATCGTGCCATGCCCTGTTCTTTTTGCTGTCTTCCCGTTCCCTGTCCCTGTGCCTACCAGAGGGGGTGAGCACAGCCCCTGCTGCTGCAGCTACTTCTCCTCCGGAGACTTGAGTACCAGAGCCACCATTCCCTGCAGTCACTCCCTCCAGCTCCAGGAGCATGGGAGGCGCAAGGGAATAAGTTGGGCTGAAAATGTGCGGCCTTATGTCTGCCTGCCCACTCACAGTAGAGTGCACTTCTTGGAGCGCAGTATTATCAGTGCAGGGACTGCCAGGGAGTGGGGACTGCACTTTTTTTAGCCCAGCTAGATCTGCTCCACTCATGCTCACAGAGCTGCTGGGAGAGGAGTGGGGAGTGGTGCCAGGATGCTGGGGCAGGTGCTCCATGCTGGTGAGTGGAGGAGTTGATGCATACTTCCTCTCATATGGGCTAGTTGCTGCCATAGCACCCTGGTTGAGAATCGCTGCAGTAGACGACAGCAAAGAGCTAGTCTTGCTCTGACTAGCAAGCAGTGGGTCCATTTTTTTTATAGTCTAGCGAGTACCTTTACTTACATTGGCTGTCTGTTGCCATTGCATCAAATGAGGAATAATGCTATTTTAATCTTGTCCCTCATGCTCTCTTGGCTAAGTCTTCTAGAATGCTCTTGGGTAGAGTAATCATAATCCACATCTCGATGTGAATTAATGTACTTTAAGAAAACAGTGACTGTTCAATATTAAAGTCCGTCTTTAAATTTTGAAAGATTTAAATATCCAGGATTGCGTTCATTATGACACCCTGAGGTAATGCTCATGTTTTCTAATGAATGCCCTGCTGGTGTGTTTATCCTGCTTGACAGTGGTTGTTCTACTCATTAGTTGGACATTTCTTAAGCATCTTAATTTTAAAAGGTTTATAGTAATTATGAGCGGTATGTGGCTTTGCACCCATTAAAAGAAGAGCTTGGCTTCTCATTTTAGAACTCCGTATTGTTGTTTTTGATCCTGTCTTGGCTACAGAAAATGTTTCACATGTGTGCTTAGAAAGCTATGGTTGTATCCAAGTGTGTTTTATAACCTGGCCTCACCATGACATGCGAGACGGGAGTTAGGATGAGGAGGTGAGAGTTAAGAAATATAAGCCTAGAGAGATGCAAGGGTTAACCCTATTTAACAAGAGGTTTGCTTGACACTTTCCCATCATGCTTTCCAATTGCAGAAGTGCAGAGAAATGCTATGATTTTTATGGAGGTGAGAGTGCATCTGTTGTTTGCATGAGGTCAGCTTTGTTGTGAAATGACTTCAGACTCTGAAAAAATACTGTTTTTATCAAGTGGGAAGTGTTTGTGTACCAAGATCATGATCCTTGTGTACCTTTTTCAGCATGAATGGTGCCTTAGCGTTTGTTGATACATCTGATTGCACCATGATGAACATAGCTGAACACTATACAGCCTCAGATGTGGAATGGGATCCTACCGGCAGATACCTTGTTACTTCTGTGTCTTGGTGGAGTCACAAGGTATTGAAGTCTTTTAGTTACTTTCTTTTGCCCTTTTTCAGTATTCATGGCAAAATGATTTTTGTGTTGGCTGTAAAATTAGAAGTTTTATATTTGCTTGTATTTGTCAATGGTTCATTGGTACTGGTGCAGTCTTCTCAAGTACTAATTTTGTGTACTGGCTCATTAACTCCAGCCCTCTTCTGAACTATTCTAGATAGCTTGGCTATTTTGCTTAAACTCTGTCGCTAAAAGGGCAACCCAATTCCATTAATTGGGATTGAGAAACTAGAGAAAGTGGACCTTTTCAGCCTCCGCAAGAGAAGGTTGAGAGGCAACCTTGTGGCTGCCTATAAGTTCATCACGGGGGCACAGAAGGGAATTGGTGAGTATTTATTCACCAAGGCGCCCCCGGGGGTTACAAGAAATAATGGCCACAAGCTAGCAGAGAGCAGATTTAGACTGGACATTAGGAAGAACTTCTTCACAGTTCGAGTGGCCAAGGTCTGGAACGGGCTCCCAAGGGAGGTGGTGCTCTCCCCCACCCTGGGAGTCTTCAGGAGGAGGTTAGATAGGCATCTAGCTGGGGTCATCTGGCCCCAGCACTCTTTCCTGCCTATGCAGGGGGTCGGACTCGATGATCTATTGAGGTCCCTTCCGACCCTAACATCTATGAATCTATGAATAATCCAAATTGCATGTCCACTGATGGACTTCCTCTTGGTCCAAGCAGATTTCCTCTCCCATGTCCAGCGTACCACTTCTGGGCAGTTGCAATAGATCCAGTAGTTGTACTTAGCATTTTCTGTATTAGTAAAGAAGCTTTATTTATTGTGGTTCAGATAAAGTGAGTGGTTTGGGTCTAGATTCCTGGGGCTCTATAAAAGTCATTTTTTGCTTTTGTTTATTTCATGGACGGTTCCTTTTTTTTTTTTCTTTCTAGTGTGGCTTTTCTCTGAGGAGCATGCCCTCCACCTAAAAGGAAGACTTTGAGTAGAAAGCCTACTCCAGAAGGGGCTTGTTTGAAAAGAGCAGACACCCCTTGAATTCCACTAGTGACTATTGCAATGATACAGAAGGCACCATGGTTGCTTACAGACATAGAAAAAACCCAAAAAACAGTGCTTTACTTTTAGCTTGGAGCACCCCAGTGTCAAGCGCAGCACATGCCCAGAACAGGAATTGCATCAGTTTGACCCAGCTCCCTACCATCTGTATAGCTCGTGCACTTCAGCAGGGTGTTTTGGCACTTATCTAATAGCTGATTGAATCAGCTATTAGATAAAGGCGCCAAACCCTGCACCCCACCTCTGCTGAAGTGTGAGCTATACAGATGGTGGGGAGCTGGGTCAAACTGACCTGATTCTTCTTCCGGTAAAGCACTTTTTGTCTCCACATCTGTCAGCACCCTAAGATACTGTAGTGATAAGGTTTTCTCGTGTTGTAGTAAAATGAATCCACCTGACCAAGATCTCACTGTGGCTTTCTAGGTGGACAATGCGTATTGGTTATGGACCTTCCAGGGTCGTCTTCTCCAGAAGAACAATAAAGACCGTTTTTGCCAGCTGCTTTGGAGACCCCGACCTCCTACTCTGCTCAGCCAGGATCAGATCAAGGTACTGTACACCACTAAACAGTCTTTTTGTATAGACTGTGGTGTAGAGAATTTGGGTGATACCATATTGGGGGCATGACAGCTTTCCATTCCCCAGTTTGAATTCTGGTGTTTCCTGTTTCTAGCATGAAGAGAGTTCAGAATTTAACTGCACTGTGCAAATATGGAAACGGTTCTGTAGATACCAAGTAGTGCTCTCAATTTAGTCTATGACTGTTTCTGTTTAACAAAAAAAACCCAAACAGCCAAAAAAAACCCCAAAATACGCTTCCCTTTGGAAGCTTCATAGGGAAACTAGAAGGGCAAAACAGTGGAACATGGTTAGTCAGAACCTTACAGTTGCATGGTTGCAGAAATACATAAGCTATTTTATATACCCAAGCAAGGTGGACTTCAGAAGAGGTAAAGAAGTTTCCCTTTGTTTAAAAAGGATTCACATGTAAAGCAATTGCTTCTTAAACAGTTTATTTTGGGGGAGGAGAGGGTATTGTGATTGTCAGTCTGTAGTCTTGGTTGACACAAGTTCCTTTTTACAGCAAATTAAGAAGGACCTGAAGAGATACTCCAAGATCTTTGAACAGAAGGATCGTCTGAGCCAATCCAAAGCCTCAAAGGTAAAAAGCTTTGGGAACACAATGAAAAGTATTTGAGGTGCTAACCTAATGTCACTGTTGCAGTCCTGTAACTGCGCCGTGTAGTTTTGAATCAGTCACTGCTTCCAGAAGCAGGTCCCTTAGCCTAAAATAGAAGTTTGTGGATTTTGGCTTAGGTTTTCCTCCTGCAGCTACCAGGGGTGGGAAAGGAGTAACCCAGGGATGACACTTGCACTTAATTTACCCCAGGAGCATAAGTGTAGGAAAGTAGCAAGACAGTTCTACCAAATGAAGAATCCAAGAAATTCCAAGGCCCAGTATTATTTGTGTATTATATACAAGGAATTGGCAGGAGCCTTTTTTTAGCCTGGGGAACTGAATATCCTTGGCTGCACTTGTGGTGGGTTCCTGATGATACTTTTCTCCATCTGATCAGTTCTTCTAGTAAAACTTGAGAGAAACAACAAGCCAAGGATGCTACCTTGGAAAAAGATCTCTAATTAAATTAGCAGAAGCTGTAGTCGTAAGTGAAAAGCACCTGGATCACTTAAAATGTGTGGGTACACTGTGTCAATGGGTTTACTAATAGCCTTTTCTTGTCTCTGTAGGAACTGGTGGAAAGGAGACATACAATGATGGAGGAGTTCAAGAAATACCGCAAGATGGCACAGGAACTTTACATGGAACAGAGAAATGAGCGTTTAGAGCTTCGAGGCGGTAAGGCACACATTGAAACCAGCAACATTATAGAAGTTTGGCTGTTGGTTAATAAATCAACATCGCTGGCTGCACTAACTGTCCTGGGTAATGGCTCAGTTGTTATTGGAATCTTCATATTAGTGTTGGAATTGTGTCCCTCTTCCTACTGTAATTTTGAGCAGGGACAGTCTCCTCTGTTATCGCCCATCCATTATTGCAAGGCCCATTTTGTTGAAGGAAAAAGTCTCAACTGGCTTTGATTTGTCGTGATTAGCAGAAGTTTAAAAATATTGCTGACACCCAAGAGGTGGTATGGGGAATATCTTTGGCTAACCTCTTGTCTGATTTGGGGTTAAGACTGAGCTTTATTCCATCAGTTGGGTTGAGAGAGATAATGGAACGATGATTGCTGTTGCTGCCCAACATGAGAAATGACTGACTTGATTACAAAGCTTCATGCAGAGGGCCAGAGTAGTTAAGCAGTGAACTATTTAATGTTCCTAATTTGAGTGATGAAATAAAATACTTTTAAAGATGGTTCGCTGCTGTTCCCTTTACTTTTTGATCAGTTGCATTGTGAGTATTTGCATGCAGGACTAATGTTTCTTCTCTTTGCCTAGGGGTGGACACAGATGAGCTGGATAGCAATGTAGATGATTGGGAGGAAGAGACAGTTGAATTTTTTATCAACGAAGAAATTATTACCGTTGCAGAACCGGAGTAGTCTAATAAAACCGTGGTAAGACAGGTTTATCTTTCAGTGGGGGAAAAACCTTCCGCTCTGCTGTTGCAGCACTTCCAGGACTTGTAGAAGAACCACCAGGAGAAAAATATAAAGATGTGTGCATGGTATAAATGAATGTTTCCATCTCCTGACTTGGCTGCCATACTTTTTATCTCAGTTGAAAGATTCTGAAGAGCCAATTATAGAGATTTTCTGGAAGTGAAGGCTTAGATCAGCCTGTGAATGCACTAGTGTTCTATAGAGCATTCTCTCCTGTTCTGTCTTGCCAGCACTTGACTTTCAAAGACTGAGAAGCCTTTAAATTGGTCCTTAAACATGGTGCATTGCAGGTATATAATGAAACTGCCTATGAAGCATGAGAAATTTCTATAGCTGTGCCAGTGAACATGAAAGAATTGCCATCTTAAGCAGGTGTGGAAAACGCTGTGATGCTTTCTGTAACAGTTTTAAGTGTTCAACAAATTAGTTGTATAATTTTACACTTCAGAACTGACTTCATTTGCTCGGAGTTAAATGTCCACTTGTCTGCTATTTCTTCCTAAAAATGTCAGTCACATTTCAAAATGTAACAGACACTACAGGTATATTGTATTGCTGAAAATGCTTGATTTTGAAGCCTATTTAATCCAGCAGTCTGCCTTTCTGCTGTGCCTCCCCCTGCCCCCCCACTTTGCTGTTCATATTGTACAGACAGATGTTGGCAATGCTGATGGCCTTAACTTTGCACTTGATCTGAGAAACATGAATTTTAAATCTCTTACCTTGCTTAGAAAGATGAAGGATTGCCAACTAAGACGAGATTCTAGCATAGATTGCTACCTTTCTCAATTTTCAATTATGTAGATGGGAGTTAAGACTACAACTGCAGGTGAAAACCCAGCACGCCTATCAATGTAAAGAATGACTAATACAACCCGAAGATTGACAGCCTATGGCCTGCAGGCTGGATCTGGCGTGCAGAGCCATTGGATCTATGTAGGAACCAGGGGGCTTCAGCAGTGTTTGGTAGGTAGGGACTTTGCCTGGGTTATGCCATGGCATGCAGGTGGGGCAGTGGCCAAATCATAGCACCAGCCTGCCTCGGACCCTAGGTCATACTTGTCTACTGCTGGCATAACCCTCTTGTCCATCAACTAGTACACAAGTTTGACTCCTAATTCTTTACATGACTTGATCCAGCAGCTGTGGTTCTCCTGTGTTGCAAGCAAGTAGAAGGTATTTGCCTAACAGAAAAATAAAGGAGGTGTGCAGCCTGACTCTGGTTAAATAGGCTTCATCAAAGGGTACTGAAGTGCAGCATTGTAGGAGTCCCGTCCACTATACAGATGAGAGACAATTTGGAATTACTTGTTTGAGGCCCAGTAACTGACTTGCCTTTTTTTTTTTTCCCCCTTCTCTGCAGCACCACCATATCTTGTACTGAAAAGAGGTTTGTTCATTTTCAGAAAGCCTACATCATCTTTGGAATTTTTAGACCATCTTCTCTCACTCTGGATGGTGAAGGCGCCACCTTCTCTCCATTCTGACACATTGTAGTGCCTTTAAAACCCGCTGCCTGCAGGAGGGATATTTGCAAAGGCACTGCTTTTAAATTTTTATTCATTTTTAGGGGTTTTCTTTTTAAATCCACCACTACCAGTATTTGCTATCTGACTCTCGTGTGGTGCTTACCAGTTGGCAGTTTTTAATTGCCCTCGGGTGAGTGTCAACAGTGCACCTTCTGGAGTCTGGCGCGCACACACAATGCTTCTCTTTGCTGAGGACACTTTTTATGTCCCATGTGCATGGACAGGTATTTGTTTTGTATGGGAAAAGATCTGCAGGGAAACCATTTTTCACATGATGTATTTTAGTGTGCTGAAGCGGCACTACAGTGGGCTGTACCCTCCTCCATTCAGATTGTGACAGGATCTCTCAGTGGGTTGAACGTGAAAATAAAAACAGACCTATACTAAAAAAAACAGGCCGTCTTGTGTGTTGTCTGTAGGAAAACTTTAACTGACTAAAATTGGATATATTCTGAATGGTAGGAGTTTCTTCATTTAGAACAGGCCACTGCTTTTCATTATTTTATATCCTGGTTTCATTACAGCTGTTTTGATCCTTTTCTTGCAGTTCATCAGTTAACAGAACAATCATACACTTTTAATAACTATAGTGGAATGATTTGAAAATGAAAGAATGTTTCTTAGAGACCTACTTAAAGGCATTGTTACTGGTGCAACAGAGGGATTTTGGAAGCTTTTAATAGGTTTTACTAGGAAGCTTTGGTTGAAAAATCTATTTGAAGGAACACTGTATTCACACAAGGAGCTGTAAAGCTCCAGGCATCAAAATATTGGATATACAAGGGAGCCAATCTAATATGGAAGAAAGTTCAGAATTCTTAAAGCTTCTAAAGCAATACTTTTTGGGCAAACTTCCCTCAAGCAGGAAAAAGGCAAATCTCCCAAGAATCTGGTTAATTTTTTTTTCCAGCAGAAAAGCTTGTCAAAATGAGCATGTTTGGTACTGAAACTTCAGTGAAGTGGTTGCTTGTGGCAGGTTTTCTTTCACTTGTTTGATGAAAGACTGTCCCATACTTTGGCCTGATTGCAACACCAATTAAATTGTTGTTTTGCACCCAGTAAGATAAGTCTCTTGTCCAATATACCTTGACTCTTCCATGATTCATACCCTTTCCTTGTACTTTTTTGCAAAGGTGAATAATAAAACAGCTAGACGGAGACCTTCAGTACATGGCTGGACAAATACCATATTCCAAAACCTGATTTAAATGTTGAACTGTAATAACCCAAGTATGATCCTGAGTGCTTTCTTTTTGTTGAGTTAGAAATTTTGTGCTTTGAACTAGATGCTGTTATCAAATACTTCTATTTCTAAGGATCCAGTCAGTGGTTGATACACTACAGATACTTCAGAGGGCAACATGCTTTCATTAGGTGCTTTCCAGGAGCTCTCACTTTTTTTTTTTTTTTTTTTTCCCCCCCCTCAAGTATTTGGACTCCTCTCTCAAAGCTTTATTTAAGGCTTCTGATAGGCTAGCTCATGTACATCCAATCACTAAAACTTGAGCAATACATAGTTAAATATTCGAGGAAGTTTTCAGCCCTTTGTTACACTGAAATCCCCCTACCTAATTAAAAAAAGAAAGAAAAAATTCTTGAAAACTTGAGGATGCAAGGTGATCAAAATAACAAAACTCTTGCTGTTGTGTTTAGTTTCTAATCATGTGGAACCTGAAAAGTTTAATCGAATCTTGTGTCTAACATACAGATCAGACACAAGATGGATGTTTGATCTTAAATTCTATTTGATGTCCTAAGCTAAGGAATTCCACCTGGTGTATTTATTTTCTGCTTTAAATTGGCTTTACTATATTTTACTCTGTCCTTTTTGGAGCAGAGCAGTATCATACACTTGATAACAGTACCCAGGGACTCGCTTCATGTAGCTTGTGTGTTTGCTTCTTCAGGGTGAAAAATGTTAACCCCACCCATCAATCGCTTCACGTCACTGGTGAGAGAAATATTTTTGAAATACCTTGCCTCGGCCTGTATTACTGATGTTCCTATGCTGTAAAAGGAACTTCGAAAGCCCTGTCAATGCTTACGACAAACAATTGTGCCTTTTTTATTCTTAAATATGGGCTACTCGCACTGTTCCTGAGTGTGGCTGTTAAAAGCTCTTTTTTTTTTTTTTTTCCTTTCTGTAGTACACCTCTCAAAATGCATCTTGCAAATAGTATAGCACAGGAAGTGCTTTACCTGATGCTGAGACACGGCTGTTTACCAGTGTGTACCTAACATTACTTAACAGTTGAATTCAGGGAAATTCCAGACATTTATTACAGAACATAGAGCTACTACTTCTGTTTTTATGAAAGTGTCACTGCCTCTTTCTCTACAAACCAAAAAAAGAAATCTTACCCATATTCCCAGGAATCTTACCTTTTACTGACTGCCTAATGGAAAAGGCGAGGTACTTGAGATTAGTATCGGGAGTTCAGTATCCGATAGATGGCAAACATCCTCCATACCGCTTAAGAATACTCCATTGTAGGATGTGTACTGTGGGGAAGGCTGGTTCTGTAATGTTTTTGGTTTGCCCTCTTTGCATCTTCCACTCCCTAGTAGCTGTTCTCTCCTTCAGCATGTACATCTTAACTCCCTTTGTGTTTCCTGATGTCTTAATGATGGAGGCAGTTAACTACTAAAGACTGGTTGGTTCTTGTCTACGTTACCATTTTCATTTAATTTAAATTTGTAATGATTTTTTTAAAGAAATAAAATGGCTTTCTCCTGAACTCCTGTTTCTTGTATGATGAGCAGCTCCCTTCTTTTCCTCTGATCCTGTGAAATAATAGATGGAATGAATTGTGTTGGGCCTCACTTCTGCACTAAACCTCCAGTGCCTTGTCCAGTTAAATTTTGAGTGTGTCCTTATTAACCGCTCTCGGGATCTCCCCCTGGTAATTAAACCGCAGTGATTTTTAAAATGCATCCATAAACTCCTGGTGTACCCATTTGGAGCTAATCTAATGGCACTAGATTAGCCTGGCAGAACTATCCCTCTCACCATGCAGGGTTCCACATGGTTGGTGATTAACAAAAGTTGCTGCTTCCTCTCCAACACCACAGGATGGGGCTGGCACCTGGGACTGGGGAGCTGTTCCATGGTGGTGCAAGGATGAAGCTTGTTCCACTGCAGAGCTGTACCTCCACACTGCCGCCAGGGGTCACTTCCCCATCAGACAGGCTTGGATGGGTAGGATGAGCTGCTCTGTGGGTAGCACAGGCTGTGATGGACCAGTGCCTGAGTGCCTTCCCTAGGGTGCAAGGAGTCAGGCAAGCCAGTTTCATTGCTCCAGAAGTAGCAGCCCTAGATAGATGCTGAACCTCCTTTCTCCTAGGAGGAGTGGGTGTGTGACCCCTGTGGTAAGCCGCTGAATTTGGTGGTAGGGCAAAAGATGTGATCTACAAGCAGTGAATCCTATAGAAGGCGGGGACTGATACCCTTCCAGCCGGGTGCTCTAGCCATACACCCACCTGTATGCTGTGGTGTATGTGGCATGCCACAGGGTGCCAGGGGCTTCCTCCAAGCCATCCCATAGCAGCGATGCATGTTGCTCCTCTGCCTGCCCCAGCAGCCCCAGGCTGCAGTGCATCACCTCTCTGAATCAGAGCATTAGGGTTGGAAGGGACCTCGAGAGGTTGCATCTAGTCCAACCCCTTGCTCAAAGTGGAACCAGCCCCAACTAGGTCATCCCAGCCAAGGCTTTGTCTACCCAGGTCTTAAAAATCTCCAAGAATGACGATTCCTTCTTTGGGTAGCCTGTTCCAGGGCTTTACTACCCTCCTAGTGAAAGATTTTTCTTAATATCTAACTTAAACTTCCCTTGCTGCAGCTTGCTCCTTGTTCTGTCATCTTCCACCACGGAGAACAGTCCAGCTCCATCCTCTTTGGAACCCCACGTCGGGGAGTTGAAGACTGCTCTTAAATCCCCTCGGTCTTCTCTTCTGCAGACTAAATAAGCCTAGCTCCCTCAGCCTCTCAGAAGTCATGTGCTCCAGCCCCTTAACCTAAGCAAGGGAGGTTTGAATTGGATATTAGGAAAAACTTTGCCACTACTAGGGTGGTGAAGCACTGGAACAGATTACATAGGGAGGTGGTGGACTCTCCATCCTTGGAGATTTTTAAGGAGCCCTGGTTAGAATGATCTGGTTGGGCGGATGGTCCTGCTTTGAGCAGGGGGTTGGACTAGATGTGACCTCCTGAGGTTCCTTCTGACCCTAATTTTCTATGATTTCTGTTGCCCTCCACTAGACTCTTTAATTTGTCCGCATCCTTTACTTAGCGGGAGACCCAAAACTGAACATAGCTCTCCGGATGTGGCCTCACCAGTGCCAAATAGAGGGGAAGAATCACTTCCCTTGATCTGCTGGCAACACCCCTACCAATACAACCCAGGATGCCAGTAGCCTTCTTCACAACAAGGCACACTGGTTGGTTCATATTCAGCTTACTGGCCAGTGCAACCCCTAGGTCCTTTTTTGACTGCTTAGCCAGTCGGTCCCCAACCTGTACTGGCGCGTGGGATTGTTCCATCCTAAGTGCAGGACTTTGCACTTCTCTTTATTGAACCACATGAGACTGCTTTTAGTTTAAGCCTCCAATTTGTTGAGGTCTTTTTGAATACTATCCCTACCCTTCAGTGTATCTACTACTTCCCGCAGCTTGGTGTCGTCTGTAAACTTGCTGAGGGTGTGCTCCATCCCATCTTCCGGGTCGTCAATGAAGATATTGAACAAAACTGGCCCTAGGACTGACCCCTGGGGCACTCCACTTGATACTGGCTGCCAGCTAGGCATTGATCCATTGATTACTATCCTTTAAGCCTGATGATCCAATCCATTTTCTATCCACCTTGCAGTCCATTCATCCCGCCTGTACCTCCTTAGCTTGCTGGGGCGAATGTTGTGGGAGACCATATCAAAAGCCGTGCTAAAATCAAGCATGGCTTTTGATGCAGCTCTTCTCCTCCTGCCTCGCCTCCTCATCACTGATGTCACCTCCTGCCTGGGGAGCGCAGGTGACGCCTCTCCCGCAGGGCTTGCAGAGCCAGCCAAGCTCAGCCTGCAGCAGCTTCCCAGCCCAGCCTGCTGGATGTCCGTCCCTGCCAGCAGATCTCCTAGCCCTGAGCAAAGGGGCACAGCCATGAAGGAGCAGCAGCTGACGGTGAGTCTGGCTGCAGGGGCAGGATTGTGGGGGGGCTCTGCTCTGACCATGTGGCCTGTCCCTAAGCAGCGGTCGGAGGTAAAGCAGGACTGGATATGGGGGGTAAAGGCTTTTCAGAGGCTGCTGTGTGTTCCAGCCTACGATTTGCCTGTTAATGCTGCACCACGTAGGTCGGGGACCAGGGGGTTGGTAATATTCACTCAGAGGCCTCCGCAGAACTTGATGAATCCCAGGACTGGGGCATTGATTTCTGCGTGTCCATCTGGCAACCTGCTGTTTATTCCCCGGTGCTTTCTTTGAGCTGCAGGTTAAAATAGCTCGCTCCTCGGGCATCTCGTGTCACCACAGGACTGTGTCGATTTGCTTCTGTTTTAAACCAGAGAGCAACGGGCTCCCAGCACAAGAGTCTCGTCTCTGAAGTGCTCCAGGGCTCTAATCACGTGTAAAGTGTTTTGGGTTTCCCAATCAAGCTCTTGTGACCCTCAACACTGTGTGGTCTTTTCCCCCACAGGCTTTTTTGTTTAATCTGCATGGTAGAGGTCACAAAATACTCCTTTCATTCACCATTTTGGGACATCAGCAGCTGCAGATTTCCAAGACAGGCTTGTCAGCCTCACACCATTGCCTGTCCCATGCGAGGAGGGACTGCTATATACTGGGTAACATTCCCCAAAGCCCCCAAGTCCTGTGGGACGCAAGTTCCAAAGTCACTTGGGCACTTAAAAAAAATTCACCCAGAGACTTTTAGGTCTGATGATAATGCAACGTGCTAGAGCAGGTGTTCAATGAGTATTAAAGAGTGTACATGGGTAGGGTGTTGCTTTGTGCCTCTGGTAACATTGACCCCAGGGTCTGCCTTGCTTTCCATTCCTAGAGGATTTTTCTTTTTTAGAAGAGGAATAATGATGTGTGCACCAGGTAATCCTGGATCCCAAAGCTGCCTCTGGAAGCCCTCATTAAAACAGCACAGGGTTGGTCTTGTTATTATGGAAATAGATTTGGTTCCTATAGAAACTAGTTGCATGTGACTATTGGAGCCTTATAGCAACACTTGGAATAATTAGGCACCCTCCAGCTGACACACACCTCGGTACATTCTGCACCTTTATGCCAATGCTAACCAGCGTTTCCACTCGGCAGCTGTTAAGGAGGTGACAGTCTATTTTATGGATGGGAAAACATACATTGTGAGGCCAAAGCCAACTTCTTCAAGTGGCCCAGGTGTCTGACAAGATTCCTAGAGAGCAGAGACTGATTTTTGGACATGCTGAGTAGTTGCAATTCAAGCTAGAGCCCTGAGCTCTTCTGAAATTGGGCCCTGGGCATCTCTGTTTGGGTTTCTATAAACTCTGGAACTGAGAATTGGAAGTTTTGGGCTTTGTGACCTGAATTTGCCCCATGGTGGCCAAACTGGACCTGCATCACAGCTGCCCTTGCGTCCTAGCCCTGTGCCTGGTCCAATATACCATTTTGTTTCTCTTTTTATTACTTTTTTTGTACATGAAATACTCCTAGTGCAATCAAATATAAAGGTGTCATATGTGGAGTCACCTCTATGATTGGGATAAGGGGTCCTATTAGCTATTTTTCACCTGCTTGTAATTTCCATATCTGTAATATTGCCAAATTTGAAAATACAAGTATTATTTACCAGTTTCTGGTTGATTCAAGCATTTATGCAGATGCGGCCGTATATACATCTGGCTCTTCATGCTAGCTCCAGTTCTCCCATGAACAAAATGTTAAGCAGACTCTTGTGGTAGCTCTCTGATTTCCTCGTGGTTCTGCACAGGTCAGGGGTCAACTTGGAGCTCAATATAAGCATGATGTTCCAGCTTGGATCCTCATGGAGTATAAATTCTCCTACTCAGTCACCAAGAAATAGCATAGTTTTAATCCATGTTTTGGGGATACAGTGGAAACAACGTGTGAGTGTCCCATTTAGCTGTGCAGCAGCTGGTAATACACTTTGAATTTTCCTGCTCCTATTGCAATGATGTCGGTGGACAGGGTAATGGAATTATTATGGGGTTTGTTGCATTAGAAACAGCAGTAGAAATAAAGAATCCACATTTGTCAAGAGACTGGAGAATTATATGCTTAAATCTTCTCTGGTGGTTTTAAAAATAACCTGGAAAAGAAAAAAAAATAAGTAAAAAGTTGTTCTAAGAAATCTTAGATGCTTGCAGGTAAGTCTGAGCTGCCTAGGGGAGCAATTTATAACCTTCCTGACTACTGTGTCTGTGTGCAGGTGGCTCTACGTATTCGTCCGATCAATGAAGCTGAGTTGGAGGAAGGTGCCTCTATCATAGCCCACAGAGTGGGGGACCAGGTGAGGCTGGGGCAGGGAAGTATGGGTGAGTTTACAGCTGAGCTGGTAGATGGTAGTTTCCTGGAAAGTGACCCAGGAGGCTTTAATTTTACTTTCTCGATAGTGGTGAAGAACAAATACAATGACATACTTTCAAGTTAACTTGTACATGACATTTCCTGTGAACCCACTTGAATAGAGATGGGATCTGAGGTATAAAACATCCTGCAACCCTAGGCAAAGGCTGTTAGAGGTGTTGCAGAATTTGCAAACTCCTGAGGACTTCTACGTGTCCTAGAGAGAGGGTCTAGGAAGGAGGCAGACAGTTTACTGAGCTAGTCTCAGGACAGAATAACACTTCAAATGGAAATGAAAGGAAAAATATATTTTAAAGATTTTAGTTGCAATTTTTTTAAAGAACAATTGAGGTTCTTTTAGCAGTGACAATGTACAATGGTAACTACCAAAGTGAATATACATTTTATGGGAGTTGAAAAGCTTAGTTTTCTGAGTGGTTTCTAGTCAGCTTGTGCTAATTACTATTCTTAGCCTCAACTTACTTTATGTAGAGTCCTTCTGACCCACTTGCTGATTCTAAAATAAAATAGACTAAGCTTGATAGGCTTGTTAACTTGGAGTTGTTCAGTCCAGTAGTGAGCGATCTGTACTCTTGCATATGTTTTTGTGACACTTCCTAGTCAGGCAATGTGTTAATCTGGAAGGAACAAAACTATTTTTGTTTTTACTATCTAACTAAAACTAAATTTTTTCAAGGTAGTTGGGTACCAAGGTCCCAGGGATGCAATGGCTACTTGCAAGTAGACTCCTGAGATCAATCACAGCATTGTTGCAGGAAAAATGTGATGGGACAAATTGGCACAGAAAACACCCCGCAGGCATTCTGTGCGCCCACACAGACAGGCTGATTTGCACGTGCAAATCTGGACTGTGGGCATGAATCAGGAAGCTCCTTTAGAAATTTTGCCCTTAGATATTTACTATTCCCTTCCCGTTTCATCAGCGCGAATGACTCGGTTCACTTAAGTGAAGTTGTTGGTTTGTGTTATCTACTGGATACTTTGAAATACAGCATGGTGGTCGATAAGAAACAGGCTTCTTTACTTTTCATTCCATCCCGGAAGAGCACACACCAACTGCAGAAACTTCCTCAGCTTGACAAAGGGTTTTTAAACCTGAAAGCTTGCTTACATTTTTTCCCAACTATTAAATTGGTCTAATAAAAGATCTCCGAGTCACCCAAAGAACCTTGTCAGCCTAAGATCATGATATTTCTACACTGGCCACTGGGTATTTCTTTCCCCTACATATTCCCTGCCTCTTCTGTGTGATTTTATCGCCGCTTAGCATCCTGATGCAGTGATTATTTGGTAGATCAGGTGGCTGATGATCTACACTCACCTAATTATGTATTTATCTGAGACAGCAAAAGCTCCCCTGGAGTATATGGCGCCTGACTCCCCCACCCCCTTCCCTTAGGTACATAATTCCCCTGGAGGCTAGATCACCTCCTTATGAGCTGTTCCAGTGGAGGAGAAATGCTACCCTCTTTCCACCATAATTATGTACTTACGTGAGTGATCACCATGGCCTCCAGAGGAGCCAAGAGAAATGAAACCTGTCATAAAGCACACTTTTTATTTTAATCTTCCTTATTCTAATCAAAGCTGTAAAAGAAACCAGTTTCTGCCCCTGAGCAAAGCAGGCATTTCTGCTAGTCCTTAGACAGGGAAGGCTTCTAAGGGATTTCCCCACGTGTTTTTGCTCCCAGGGCATTTAATTTGTTTCCTGAACAATTCCCCTGGGAGCTGGGAATGTTCCAGATCCTAGCATTTCACTAAAAATAAAACCAAAGGGGGGCAGTTGCTGCTTTAGTCACACTGGGCTTCATCAGGTGTAATATAGGAGAAGACAGTGCTATGCTAGTGCAAATGACTTGCCCAGTGGAGCCTCACTGAATTTCCTCTGCGCACCTTGAAATGTTCGGCAAGAATTGCACGTTTTCCAGATGACATCATCTGGAGAGCAGATCAGCTGCAAGGCTTCTTCATGACTGCCCCAGAATCAAAAGCTTCTCCGACTCTGCGGGTGGTACGTCATCTACACATTCAATTTGAAGCAATAAACTCTGGAGCAGTTTGAGCCGGAGTAAACTACTCCCAGGTGCAGCATCTAGATATGCATCTGGAACTGCAGCAATTGGAGCCAAGGTGGAGCAGATTATGCCAGGGCTACTCAGCCCTGGGCTCTGGGGTGGTGGTGATGGGTGGTGGAGAGGCTGGCTAGGGCACAAGGGTGCTGAAAGCGTGGAGCTGTGGGGTGAGGCAGCAGGCAGGAATCTGGCCCTCCGCTGGCTGGGTGACGGTGCAGTTTACACCCGCGGTCAGGGTCCTCACATGCATTTAATCCCAGTAAATTACCCTGGTCTAAAATAGTACTGTCCTCAACAGTACTATCTTGCTGTAGCATAAATTAGTTTACTGCGTCCTTATACCATCGCATGTGTAGATGGTGATGCTTTCTCCACGGCTAATTAGTCTACTCTGCAGTAAAGCGCATGTGTAGATGTGGCCCATATTGTGTGCACTGATGCCTTCCCATATACACTCCTTCAGTACTTGGGTGGCTGGTTGATGCAACAGAATATTGTAAGATAAATAGCTGGCAGAACCATTGGCCTATCCTGATCGCAAGTCCCATTTCATTGCAACCATAGAATCGGTGAAGGACATGATGGTTTTCTCTCTGTATATGTTTTGTAACAGATGGTTGTTCTGATGGACCCAAGTGAAGATCCAGATGATATCTTGAGAGCTAATAGATCCCGAGAGAAGACCTTTATATTTGATATGGTTTTTGATCAAAAAGCTACCCAGGTAACATTCTCTCCTCCCCTCCCAAACTCTTCCTCCCTGACCCACCAAAAGGAAAAAAAAAGTTGTCTGGTTTAAATTGTTTGGTTTAACCCCTGGGAGTAACACTGCACACCGATGAATTCACGTTGCGTCCAGCGAAATGGCAGAGGTGCTGAGGGGAGGCAGATTGCAAAGGCTTCTCTTTTGCTTATTGGAGAACCAGTGTAAGACGCAGTCTGCTCTGGATTTCTCTCTCCCCCAGGACTTGATCACCCAGATCTGTATGCACACAATGGAGCAGTTCTGGCACCGAGAGCCAGGACTCTTGGGGCCTCCAGTGAATGAGGTCATGGTTGTCTTGTTTAGCTCTATGGCATAGGCTCTTCTTTATCTGTTTTGCTTGAGCTTCTCTAAAATTAAGTGACTTCCCAAGCCGTCCTCCAGTTAGGCAAGGCTGGTGCACACAGCTGCATGCAGCTCTGCAGGAGATGAAATGAAATGATCTGAAAACCTGATTAATGTCTGAAATCATTTATTTTACAAGATCAGTCTCCTCGGCCTTTCTGCTACTGACTAATACATTCATCACAGTGGTAACAAGGCACCAAAATGTTTTTATCTAAGGATTTATTAATGGGCCTGTCAACAAAATATCATCTAAGCAATGCATAGGTCCATAAAATGCTGTCCATAATAGACCTTCATAGCAGATGGCCTAGAGAACTGCCAAGAATATTTATTTAATCTTTCCTACCTTCAAAAAGTAAAATTTCTTTGTTAATACCTTTTTGGACCAACTTTATCATTGGAGAAGTTAGACAAGCCTTCGGGCACAAAATACCCTTCCCTAGGTCTGGGAAAACAGTAGCTACAGCCTAAGCTAAATATCAGGTCAAGCAATTAGAGCATTTTGTGCCTGAGAGTTTATCTACTATCTTTCCTAAGTATAAATTTGGGAGAGATGCGAGATATTATCAAGGAAGTCTTTTTTCCTCACATGGTATTCCCTGGATCATCATGGCTACAACAGTTCTAGATTTGGCTTTATTTGATGGGAGTCACAGCATTACTTAGTGTGCAGGTATGTGCTGGCTGCTGCTTCTGGTGGCTCGTTCCAGATTTAACCACCCTTGAGAAGGTTAATGCATGGGTGTGTGTGCGTGTGCATCCACCCATGCATGTATTTGGAGAGGACACAACTGGTACAATTTATCATGTCCGTGACTCGTTCTATTATTCCAAACCCTTTCAAAGCTTCAGACAGACACTGGGATAGTCTGCATCTGGTGGTCCCATGGATCTGCTCACTCCTTCCTTCCTTCCTTCCCAATCTGCCAGAGAAGGGTTTCTTGAAGGCTCCAGCTAAGCAGGGAATATGACCTTTGCCTGAGGTCTCATATGCATGAAATCTTCCCAATTCAAGAACTGTGGGATACTCAGTGTGATAAGCTTCAACCAACAGTTCTCAATCGTTTTAGATTCAAGGCACCCCTGGATATACTTGAGGCAGCCCTTGGAAAATGCCAGCTCTTAGTTTACACTTGTTGTTTGACTACAGAAAAATAAGAGACCAGTTCTGCTGCTGCAAGGAACTCAGGCCACAAAAAGGAAGAACATTTTTAACACTGTGGATTCCTATTACAAATGTCTTAGTTTATCATGTGAGTCATGTTTGTATGCCTAACAGTGCCAACATTGCGTGGCACCCTTGAAAGGATCTGAACGTACCCCAGGGTGCCACGGCATCCTGGTTGAGAATCGCTGGCTTAGTGAGAAGTAACCAGCTGAGAATCGCTGGTTGTGTGTATCAGCTTGGAAATAATGTTTATGTCTGACCTAATAGCTCTGCTGTTTTTCACTGTGACCAGGAGGAAGTATATGTGTCCACCACCAAGAGCCTGGTAGAAGGAGTCATTTCTGGATACAATGCAACTGTTTTTGCATATGGCCCCACAGGTAACACGGACATACTATAAGTACAGGGCCTGGAGCAGGAGATGGGTGGGATGAAGTGTGCAGAGAGAACTGAAACTTTAAGGTCTGGACCTGAAGCAGCAAGTCTAACTTCCTAATTGTATTAGTTCAGAGACAAGGCCAGAGCAGTACAAACATCATTCTGTGTATTGCAAACTGCGCCTCTGTGTATCATGAAATGCAATACACTACTGCAGGGGTGGGCAGTTATTTTGGGCAGAGGACCGCTTTCTGACTGTTGGCAAGCCATCGAGGGCTGCATGACAGGCAGCCAGGGGCAGATAAATATTAATTTTCCAAATTTTTTAGGGGCCCTGTGGGCCAGATAGAATGGCCTGGCAGGCTGCAACCGGTCCGTGGGCTGCATTTTGCCCAGCCCTGCACTATTGTGTGTTGCAAACTGTGCCTCTCACTTTAACTGTCAAAGCAACAGTAAAGCAGTGGTATGCTTGAAAACAGGCTGAATTAGGAAGGAATTCACTGGAGGGAACTATTTCCTTTTATTAAAAAAGAGGAGGGAAAAGACAAGGACTGCTCTTTGCAAAGCTGGAGTTTGTACCATCTCAGGAGGGCAGATCCAGCCGCAGATGGACTCTGCCATAAATGACATCAGAAGTTAATTTTCCCCTGGAATCTGATCTGCACTGCTCTTTTCTCTGCTTTAACAGGGGCAGGGAAGACGTACACTATGTTAGGGATGGACTGTGAACCGGGGATCTACATCCGCACTCTGAATGACCTCTTTAGGGCCCTGGAGGCAACCAGTGACAACATGGATTACATCGTCTCGATGTCATACCTAGAGGTGAAGCATCTTTGGTCGGTTTTTAAGGGGGTACAAATTCTGTGAAGAAGGTGCTTTGCAATGAGAGCTTAGTGAGACTCCTGCTTAGAGAAGGTATAACTCAAAGCTGCGAGTCCAATGACGTTCTTCTTGCCTTGTTCCTCTTCGGTGGTTCTGGCTGAGTTCTAGACTTCTTGTCACCTTTTTCTGTATTTTTTGCATAATTGGTGACATTTCCACCTATCATTGCAGTCATTCATTTATCTTTGTTATCTACTGTATCACCTATTCACAGAAGCCGGACTCAGCTAGCTTAGCTTCGTCCTGCTTCTCCTCTCCAGGGAAATACAAACAATGCCATACCTAATGGATCGTAAATAGCACAGTCCTCCATATTACTGATCCAAGGATAAAGCAGTGTGAGTCTATTGACTTCCTTTGCCTTTCCCCTCCTCTATCAGATTTATAATGAAGTGATCCGTGACCTCCTGAATCCATCCTCTGGATTTTTAGACCTGAGAGAGGACTCCAGGGGTAGTATCCAGATAGCAGGAATAACTGAAGTCTCCACTACAAATGCACAGGAGGTAAGATGGACTAAGTGTCCACAGGAGAAGGAGTGGGAGTGCTCACTGCTCTAGAGTAGTAGCAAGGTTTTCAGATGGTTTCACATATCCACACTGTCATCACCTTCCTTGATATAGTGTCTCATGCAACAATATCCATTGAGACTCATTTAATTCAGCCAAATTACTCAAAAAGGACTAATCAGGCAGGCAGGAAGATAACAGGAACCAGGCTGAAATCCATTCCTAAGCAATAAAAATCAGCTAAATAGGTCAGTAGGTTCAGTATCTGCTGGTTTCCTGAAAAGAAGACTGCCTTGACCTATATTACACATCCTATCAGCTAAAATGTTAATAGAGGAAGTGGAAAGGAAGTAACTGAAATATGCTTTAGCAATGCACTTGAAGGCAGATTGTACTGAGTATCTACATTACTTCTAATGTGCAGTTTTTCTAAGGTGATTTCATACCACCAATATTGGGAGCACCAATTGTATAATATTATATCGTTTTGGATATAACATGCTGAGCTATTCTGAGTCCTAGCAGAATGCAACCCAGCACGTCATCAAGCCAACAAAAGTGAAGTCCCAAGATTTACACCATTTGGTAGCTAGTGCATCAAACCTAAGTCCCAGTGAAGTCACAGCCAAAACTTGGTCCAACTTCTGCTTACACTTCAGGGTGATCAATCTCGCTGTTATTGTAGGTGAAGCTTACAGTTACCAGAGCAGATCTTACTACCTCTGGGTGCTTTTCTGCCTTATTTAGATCATGCAGCTGTTGACAAAAGGAAACAAGGAACGCACTCAGGAACCCACTGCTGCCAATGAGACATCTTCCCGCTCACACGCTGTCCTGCAGGTGACAGTGAAACGGATGAGTCGGGTGAAGGATATTACCGAAGAAGTGCGAGTGGGAAGGCTTTTCATGGTCGACTTGGCAGGGTCTGAGAGAGCTGCTCAGGTACAGCTAAGAGCTCAATAGGCATTTACAAACAAGACCTAACCATTTGGTCTGTCCTGCTACAACTTTCCGAGGAACAGCTGATATTGTGTGGGGCACATACTGTCTTGAAAAATCATTGTTGCCTGCATGTTTGGCATTTGTAAAACATTGGGAATACAACGTTTTAACACTTGCGATATATGCACCATATGCCATTGATATGGTGCATAAAATGTGCACCATATGCACATTTTATTGAGCAAGAGTCAATTAACTGTGTTTAAACTTTGTTTCTCTATGCACTAGCATAGAGAAACACCTTACAAGTGCAACTGAGAACTGCTTTTTCATAGGTTGAGTAGAGGAAAAGGCAGAAAGGACATGCGGGTGATCAGAGCTGAAGTGTTTTATCCAACTGCGAGATGTTCTGCAAAATTTTAAGCTTTGGCAACAATGCCTCATATGAGAACAAGGGAGCTCTGGAAAGGCAGAGGAGTGGGGGATTGGTGTGACTGATGTAAGCATCACGGACAAGCAGGGAGCTGGAGGGTAGGACATTGGATAGATGGAAGTCAGAAAAAAATGGGAGAGAGAACCAGGAAAAGGGGGAGAGAAAAAAGAGTGCAGACAATGAGCAATTGAAAGGATGGTGATGGGGAATACTGCATAAAAGTTGGAATAGATATGTGGAAAGCTATTTCTGCGTGAAATGGTTAGATCTTCTGCTTCGTGCTTCAATCCCATTTGCTTGGTTAGGAAGCAAGTCACAGAAGGGTAGGTTTCAATTTACTACAAATCTTCTAGCAGAGACTCTGGACTGAATTCAAGTCCACCACGTGCAAGATTTCAGTGGGAGCTGCGCCCATTTGTATCCCTGCTGAATTTGCTCTGTCTAAATTTGTCAGAGAGGCTCATGCTTTAGAGATTCAAATCCTAACACTAATGTTGCAAAAACAAAGCCATTTCCCAAGTGTAACCCCATCCTTCTTCCTTTCACAAACAGACCCAGAACCGAGGCAAGAGAATGAAGGAAGGAGCCCATATCAACCGCTCGCTGCTAGCTCTAGGAAATTGCATCAATGCCTTGAGTGAGAAGGGTGGGAGTCGAGGCCAATATGTCAATTTTCGAGATAGCAAGCTCACCCGCTTGTTGAAGGTATTGTATACTGCTGGCTGGGAAGGGAATCAACACATTGAAGGCTTGTGTTGCTGCACAGAATAAGTTATACTTGAGAGCTGACCCACATTTGTGTATCCCCTCTTTTCTTCCCAAGCACAGGGAATTACTTCAGGTCTTGAGTAGGGGTTCAAGCCCAGCCAATAATATATTTTGACTCAATTCTAACAAAAGCTGACCCCAGCGCTCTTTGCTGCCCAGGGCAGGGGGTCAGACTCGATGACCTACCGAGGTCCCTTCCGACCCCAACATCTATGAAAAACAAGAGTCAAATGAACACCTGGACTCTGTCTGAAATGAACCAAGCCAGGATGAGCTGTAAAATCCAGTGAACCTCTGTTGATAACTTGAAACCTGGGAGTTGTGCTGTGCGATCATGGGCATTTGTTGTGTTTGTTCATGGATCTCAATGTACTTCACAGCTTTTAGCGTGAATCTTGGTTGATTTCTTGGTGCTGAACTTCCAGCTAGGGCTGATTGAAAATGTATTTTCTGCTCCAAAGCAGGATTTAAAAATTGTGTGGAACTTGTTTTATTTTGTCAAAATCCCAGAAGTTGTTTGCATTTTGATGAAAATGGACATTTTCCTGGGAACAGAAAATTCTACATAGTCAAAAAGCCACGCTTTTGTCAGCCAGAGGTTACAGTAACAATTTTTTGATCTGCTCTACCTACCGCTCTTAGTTTGGATTCTCTGCTGGAATCTAAATGAGCAGCTCAGTGTAGCTTTCAGGGGACCAAGCATGCCCCACCAGTGCCTTTTTTAATACCAAGTGATGGCAATGTTGTGTTCATCTAGGACTCACTGGGGGGGAACAGCAGGACAGTTATGATCGCCCACATCAGCCCTGCTAGTATGTACTTTGAAGAATCTCGTACAACCCTGATCTATGCGTATCGAGCGAAGAACATCAAGACAAGGGTAAGCAAGCAAGCAGCCCACCAGCTAGATTTTGTAGAATAAGCATGCAAAGAAGGCATGAAAGATGCTGGGTGAAAGGAGGATGAGGATGATTTTGGGCTGAGAAAGATGAATGGGATGCACGATGGGGAAAGAGAGAGGCCAGACAGTACTCTCAATATTCATGTTGGAAGCATGAGGGAAGAGGAGTCAAGCAACATGGTGGGAGGGATACAGTAAAACAAGAAGGTAAGGAACTTAAAGCAATGGGTACTGACCACATCAATAGGCCTATGAATAAGATGCATTAAGGGACTGGGGATTAGTCACGACAGAGAGGGTAGCATGCATGGCACAGAGCGGTGTACAACAGATGGGAAGCAGTATAACAAGAAGCAGTGAGTAGGTGCCATAATGGCAGTGGATATAGATGACAAGTGGGTGTGGAGCTGCCAGTGAGGAAACAAAAAGGGAAGGCTAAAGAGGCAGCAAAAGGAGAGGCCTGTAGGGTAAAGGAAGGTAGACAATGATGTATAAAGAGTTATCCCATAGACTGAGGGTAACTAGGCACCTCTTGACTAGGAGGGATGCTCTGGTTCACAACCAGGGTGCTACAGAGCTACCAAGAGAGCTACAGAATGAATGACCAAGTGTGTTTTGGTCCCAACAGGTGAAACGCAACCTGCTGAATGTTTCCTACCACATTGCTCAGTACACCAGCATCATCTCAGATCTACGCCGGGAGATCGAGCGCCTGAAAGCAAAGATTGAAAATCAGGAGAAGGAGAAGAGCATGGTCAGCTCTGATATTGGGGATGCTCAAGGTAGATCCAGGAGCAGATGCTTTTCTCTGCTAGGTTCTGTCCTTGAGGTTTGTGCCTTGGTGTGTCTTGTGTATGAGCCTGACTTTGGCTTTTTGAGGCATCCGCATCCTGTTCACATGACATTCAAAGGCTTTCCTAGAGAGAGTCTCTTGCTTTTCCAGCTGCCGGTCATGTTTGCAGCAAACTATTTTTTGTCCAGCTCCATCACTGTAAAGTCCTCCAGCCTCCCTGCATCAGGTCTGAGTTGGGGCAGACATCTGTCTCCTCAGTAGAGTCTTTCCTCGTCAGTCCCTCATGTTAGCCATACCTGATGCTTTTAAGTGCCTGATGTAGAGGAGCAAGTTAAGTCTGGTCAGAGTAGGGGCTGTTTGTTGGTCAATATTGGACTCCATTGTGAACTTCATCACTAGCTTGTGATATAACTATGGGCAGACTCTCTCTGCACCTCACTTCCTTGTACAACAAGGGTATGCCCCACTGAAAGGTCCTCTGAAATCCTATCAGTCTTTATAGAAGCACAAATTAGCAGCATCTTGTCATCATGATTATTTTGCAGCCCACGTTGTTATTGCTCTGCTACTAACTGTGCCATGAAGGCAAGCAGGGTGGCACCTTACAGACTAACTGGCCTTAGAGAGGCATGGACTTTCATAGGCAACAACCTACTTGATGTGCTACCAGCTCTCAAAGGAGTCTTGTGTGGGCCACATTAGGGAGTGAGTGTAGAGCATTGGGCCATTGGAAATGGAAGGGCTATTCTTTTCTTCTGTAGCGGAGATGCATGAGGATCCAGAAGCGTACAGCCGGCAAGAGATGAACAAGTTGCGGGAGCAGCTGATCAGAGCTTTCAAGGAGCAGCTGGAGATGCGCCGCAGCCTCATAGAGCTGGAGAACACCAACATTGAGCTGCACATTGATACCTCCAGGCATCTGCTTACGATTACAGAGTGAGTACAGCCACAGGATAGCCAGCTACTTCCTGATGAGGAAACACCCTAATGTCCCCGCCGAAGGTGTCCGTAAAAGACG